GACCCTGGATTTAAGTGCATTGAGACACTGTCCCACGTGAAGGCACAAGTTACTGTTGTTGTTATTGTAGACAGTGGGGCATGATTTCCTCAGGTAAAAGGAGTGAATCCCCTTCTTGCCCCACAGCACTTGCTCCACCTGACTCTCATTCCAATGATCCGATCAGGTCACTGTTTAATGATGATGCACGCAATGCCCAGGCACTTTACACTTTCTAATTTGGTGGCAGCAGAGGATCAGTTGTTTGCAGGACCTTGGATTCAGACTGAATGCAGAAGAAACGCTGCCTAGTTCTGGGGCCTTGCCTGGCCACACACTGACAGGACACGCAGACCCCAGACCTCAAGCCTAAAATTATAGGATGTAACTGATGGTTGCGGTGCTCTGTCATTACTGAGTTCCACGCTACCCAAGCACGGTCTCAATGGCACCATTGATCCCACAGTTGGCACTTGTGCGTGTGGCACTGTCCCTGTGTTACAGAACTACCATGGCACAGCACGTGTCAAGATACATGACAGTCAGAGTCAAAACAGCTAGTAACCACTAAGACATTGAGCAAAAACCAACACCAAAAACCCTTCCTGAACTATCCTGCCTGAGGGGATTTTATGGGAAAATAAAAAAAGCATATTGTTGTTCATGAGCTAAAGAAAGCTTTGACATACAGTCAGAGGCCAGTGAGACACCCACTGTATTAGGGCTGATATTTGCTCCTCCACTGAAGCCATCCATCCTAGACCCAATTCCCTGCTCTTTCAAACTCTGGGACTAGTTGCTGCAGTGGGTTAGATGCCATCTTTTTTTATGGGAACAAATGAGGCACTGTCCTTTCACACTCCAGAGCTGGATGATGTGTTTTATTAATGGGATAACAGAGAAAAGTTGTGTCCGAGACCAAAACAGAATCACAGCCAAACTGCATGACTTACCAAATTCTATTTCCTCATAGAATTAATCCAGGCTTTAGGCGGTTGCTTCTCCCCCAGTGACTACAAACAGCACTTCCACTGCTTCTGCTCACCTTTCCCCACCCTCATCACCATGCCCCTCGCTCGTTTATTCAGCTGACTTCCTTCCGCCAAGACAAACTCAGAGTTGAGACAGACTCACGACCTGCACTGACCATTACGCCTACAAGTTGCTGCATCAATCTCCGCTCATCAACCACACAAAACTAATCTGGAGTATTGTGCTCAGTCTTAGACAGTCTACTTTAGGAAGGATATGCAAGACTTGGAGAGTTTCCAGTGATAATTGTCGAGATTAATACCTGGGTGTTCCTATGATGAGAGGCTGGGTGTATTTGGGTTGTATCCTATAGAGCTGAGGAGGTTAAAGGTGATCTGATTGAGGATTTTAAAATAATAAACAGCATTGGCAAGTTAGGTTGGGGAAGACTCTTCCCTCTGGTTGACAAATCTGGAGTAAGAGGGCATATTTCTGAAATCAAAGTGCTTTGAGGCATTCATTCTTTGCTATACAAGTGCAATGTCTTGTAAAAGTAGAGCTAAACTGGTTAAAAGTGAATGCAGAAACAATTTCTTCACATAGAGAATGTGGAATGAAACACCCAGAGGACCATATATGAAGAATCAATTGAGGTTTGTTTTTTGAGGCTGATAGATTCTGACTTGCGAAATAAGGGCTTTCGAAATAGAAAAGGCAAGGAAATGGGATTAGAAAAATAAAGATCAGCCCTGATCTAAATAAACTGGTAGAGCAGGCTTGACGGGCTGAATAGCTGCTCTTCCAAAGACATTATTCACTCTGTCCTCAAATGATATTGCTAAACTGATCGCAGATAAGACAGAGAAACAGAGTTTTTTTTGCACAGTGGGCATAAAATAAGATAATGAGTTTTGTCAATCGGAGGAACTTTCGAGGGTGGTGAGAGGGTGAAACTTGCTGTTGGAAGCTGTGGTTGAAGCAAATAGCATGAATGTATTTAAGAGAAAACTTGATACGTACAAGAGGAAGAAGGGAACAGAGGAGTATAGGTGAGGGGAATAGGACAGCTGGTGAGGGGAAACAGCAGCACGGACTAGTTGGGCTGGTTGGCCTGTTTCCATTCCATATCATTCTGTGTCATTCTACCAGGTGTGAGCAACATTAATCATCACTCGAGACTGACAATCAATACATTGGTTACATGACACGCAATAATGTTGTGTACAGTATTATAAAGGTTTGAAATTACAACATGGAATACCCATACTTCCTGTCCTGTCTTTCTGTTCCGCAACCCCCACCCCCCCACTCCATGCATTTCCTATCTTGTGTTACAGAGACTCCCTCACTACCCTTAGTGGCTGACGAAAGGTCAGAGTAGGAACACAAGGAGTAATCAAATTGCCTTATATCTAGTGAGTGCGGGGAGACACTGGGTTAGTGCTCTCTAGCCTTGACCAGCTTGTGAGAGCTGGGGCTCTCTCTTGCTCTGTGTAAATAGTGTGTGTCTGTCCCACCACTGAGAAGCAGGCCTGATTGCTCTGGTTAACATCTCTGTTCCCACCTCTAGGGGCCCGTTACTCTCTGCCCCACTCAAACATGCCCAGATAACTTGCACCATCCTGGGCTTCTGATGAGTTAAGTGGCCTCTCACCTACTAGCCCCCGCCCCCGTGTGCTGGAGGATGGGAACAAGCTGACAATTCCACACGGAATAGACTACAAGCGGAACACTTTCCCACAACCTTCCTCCTTCCTGCTAGCCTGCGAAAGGCACTGAGCTCCAGAGCCTCACCACTGCCGAGCCAGCTCTCAGGCCCGAGGTCCAACAGGACAGCTCCAGGCTGCGCTAACAAACAGCCCAACAGCAGACAGAAAAGTCCCCCTCACAGGCCAATGCAGCCTCGACCACAGGCCTTCCTGAGCTACTCTAAAGTGAGAGCCCCAGTCTCCAGCCTCCATCTTCTGTATAAGTTTATACAGGTTTCCCCATTTGATGATCATCAGTCATTCACTTCATGGCTGTTTGTGGGACATTGTTGGGTGAAAATGGCTGCCACGTTTGCTGCAAAATACAGTCACTGTACTTTACACTGTGAGGTGTTTCGAGATACCCTCCTGACACGAAAGGCATTGTATAAAATGTGTAGATTATTATTATTTTTCAGGTTAGCTCACCCTTCCATTAGATTAATGATTGGGGCTGGCTGGATTCCATGTATTATTGTAGCACATTGGTTAGAGCACTCGCCTCGCAAGCGAGAGGACAGGGCGAGACCTTAGGCAAGTTTCCTTGCTCCACATGTCTCTGTTTACCTAGCAGTAAGTAGGAACCTGGATGTTAGTCGATTGGCGGATCGCTTTTCCTGGGGTAATAATCCCTTCAAAAAAATAATAATAATTTGGCACTCAATCCACCACTGTTTGTGGGACACTGCTGTGTCTGGCTGTTTGGCTACTACGTTTCGCCCACAAAAATATACAGTTTATTCACTTTAAAGTATATTCTGTGAATCGCTTTGAGATGTCTCAACGACCTGATAAGGCGCTATATCAAATGCAAGGATTATTATCATTATTATTGTATTGAGGCTGCTCTTGGCATATCCCCTGCCCACATACCCCAATCCCATCGCATTGTTGTCTGCCCTAGAATAGGGTGGTGAGTGGGTGATATCACAGGGACATAGAGTCTCCACTATGTGCAATGTGTAACTATTTTGTGAAGCATCACAGGACAGGAGGCAGCAAGAGGTCAGAGATTAGGTAGCACCGGGTCAGAACCTGGGAGAAAGGGAATCAGAGCATCAGGCTGTACTTCCTGCAACGAACATGGTCAACGAGTTCCATCACTGGCCCGGACACTGCACGAGCCAGTCTCTAAACAAAGTTCCTAATTCTCTTTATATTGATCCGAAATTCACACTTAATAAAAGTCTGCGGAATTAGCTGTGTTTGGAAAACAACGGATTAACGAGTGGAGCTGGCTGGATTCCATGTAATATTGAGGCTGCTCTTGTATGGCCTGGTTTCAAAAACAACAGATGGGTACTTTTCCATCACTCCAGTGTACACGAGCGTCCCTGAAAGACTGGCTGTCACCATATCCGTGCGCTAGGACAGCCATCACTTTTACTTTAAGTCTCGTGACTTGTTGAGTAGGCACAAAGTTTAGGTGCAGCAATGATGCAAGCGACAACAACCGCATCGAATTACATTTGCGTAGCACCTTGAGCGTCGAGAGGGCATTCCATTAGCGTGCATGGCTGGTATGTGCCGCAGTGTGAATGGGTGGCACATGCATGAGTGGCGCATGCATTAGGGAGGCGTGTGCATTGGGCCCATGGGGGTTGCATGTAGAAGGTGCGCGGCTGGTATGCACAGTGGATGCAAGAGGGCCTGGGCTGCACTCTGAAGCTGGAGGTACATTTACTGCTCGTCCATGACACGTGGTAGAATACACGTCTGTTCTTTTCTAAATGACACCAGGGCTCCTGGAAGCAGCTGACTCTTTCCCACAACCTGTCATTATAGTGAGAGGTGGGGCTCAAGAGAGCGGTTTGATCAGCGGGCAAAAGTCTTACATCAGCCTTTGCTGTACACTACCAGTAGTTATGTATCCTCACAATACACCCTCTCTCTCCTTCCCACTCCTTTTCCTCATGTCTCTCACACTCGATCTTGTCCTTGTGTCTCTCACTCGCTTATAGAAGCCAAAGATTATTTTTACTAAAAGGGTGTAATGGAGGGCAGAGAGCAATAACCTTTGCATTTCACCTAGTTCCTTATGTCAAAATGCTTTTCCGTGAAGTGTAGTGACTGTAGGTGAACACATCAGCCAATTTATGCATAGCAATGTTCCACACACAGCCATGAAGTGAATGAGTTTTTTTTTATTTGGAGAATTGTTCACCAAAACACTTGGGAGAAAATCTTCTTTCTTTCTTTGAACAGTGCCAAGGGTTCTTTAGCATCCACCTGAACGGGCAGACGGTACCTCGGTTTAAACGTCTAGTTAAACAACACTAGTTGAAGACTGGAAAAAAACAGCTCTCGAGAACTTAAAGGAAGCCCTTTTAGCACTCTGAGGGTTAACGGACTCCCGCTCACTCAGCCTGTGTACTCCCTCCAATCACAATTGGTTAGTGATGCTACTCCCTCCCTTGCTCTCTGCTACCTCTCTGAGCAGCCACATATTTTGCATTCATTAAGACAGCCTCAGGACTGGAACAGGAGTGCGTTTAGGACAGGGCTGCTCAGTGTGTTTCCTCCCAACTCCCGCAGCCTCTGAAGGTGAGCCCAGGGCAGGCACCCAGTGCTGGAGCACCTCCACTTACCCCATAGCGGGTTCAACACTCACAAACCACCCCCACACTGTACAAGCAACTCTTTTCCTTTCTTCACTGAGGTCAGTAAGGTAAGATTCCTCACCTTTCTCTACCAATCACTGGCCACTTTGGTCTTACATTTTTCACCATCGGTTACTAGGAAATTGCACCTGAAATTTCACACTTTTTTTTGCACAGGATCCTTGTTCTGTTAGGGCAGAGGATGGGAGAAAGAAAGGGAGAAAGAGAGAGAGAAAGAGCAAGTATGGAACTGGAAGGAGGCAGAGTGACTGGGAAGGAGGGAGCGGGGGAGTAATAGAGAGAGTATATAGGACCAAGATAGAGAGAGCGTTCAAGATAGAGTGAGACAAAGCATGCAGGGGACGAGAGAGTCAGAGCAGGGGACCGAGGAAAGACAGAGAGCACGCATGGGTCCGAAACTCTCTGTCCAGTGTCTTGGGATGTCCTCCTGATGTGAAAGGCGCTATACAAATATAATTTTGTTGCTGAACACACAGGAGAGGGTGAGAGAGAGAAAGAAAGAGAGAGAGAGCACATATGGTACAAGAAAGAGATAGAAAGATGCAGCATGTATGATGGGGAGAGAGGGAGAGTGTAATGGTGGGGGGGGAAGAGAGGGAGAGCATAACAGAAGAGCGAGGGAGCGAGAGCCTGACAGGAGAGAGAGCATTCTTAGTAGGAGCGAGATAGAGTGAGAAAACGGCTGGAGAGAGTGAGGCTAGATCATGGGACAAGAGGGAGCGAGTCCGGGCAGGGAGTGAGTAGAGAGTGCACAGGGTGGGGTCGTAAAAGAGTGGAACGAGGGATAAGATGGGCAGAGAGAGGGGGGTGAAAAAAAGTACAGAATAAGGATGGGGGGGGGGAAGAGAGAGAAAGCACGTAACCATATAATGCCATAGAGAGTGTTCTACTACAGTACAGGGGAGTTATCCCTCAGTCTGTACAGTCTTTAGTTACAGCACAAGACAGCTTTGTCTTGTAATGTACCTTTCCCAGTCGCCGTTATTCATCAGGGTAAAGGTTAACGCCATGTAACTGCAGAATAGTTGTTTATTCAGTGGGCCTCAGTCACACTGTTGAAGCAATAAGTGTATTAAAGGAATGGAACCGGCTTAGGTCACCGGCAGACTCTGTTCTCAGTCTACCTCGAATGAGTGGCTTTAAAGCAACACGATTTGCACAGGAGTGGGCGAAAGGCATGTGTGCCTTCTGCAAGTACAGCATCAGAGACCACCAATGTTGCTGTTGATTTGGGCAGCATCTAAATAATAATTACAGATCAAATCATATATTTTAAAACAGGATAAAAAAAACAAATCACCTTTGCGGGGATTGATCTGGAGCTCTGAGCCCGTGTGGTGGCCCTCGCGGTATTGTGGTGGAGCTTTGTGAATACAGCTCATGTGTTCCTTAAACAGAGGTTAGTGTTTCTCGGCTGCTGTGGAGAGTGGAATGTGTAATAATGTTCTCATTACCTCAGGATGGTACGCAGGGGTGCGGTGCACTTCAGAGCCCAGCAGCAAGGGAGGTCAGTGCTGAGCAGGCGTTTGTGACACAGCAAAGCAAACAGGCTCTCAGCTGCCACTGTTGTTTAATTAAAAAAAGCAGAGACTGAGAAAAGGGTTCTGTGGGGGGAATGGCCTGCAGGTTTGACCCAGGCTAATCTTCCTTAAAGGTCAGCCGCTAAACTGCACCCAGGCCAGAGCCGCTCAATGGAGAATGTCAGATGTGTACAACTAACAGCTCACAGCTTCCTGCCTCCAGCTTATCCAGCAAAGCTGGGATCAAGGCGGCTGACTTCACTCCCAGAATCATAGAAAGGTACAGAACAGAGATGCCATTCGCCCCATCAAGTCAGCTGTGGATCTTAACTTGAGGCGTGTAGCTAAAGGAATAATAATCCTTACGTGTGGTATAGCGCCTTTCACATCGGGAGGACATCCCAAAGTGCAATGAATAGAGCACAAGTCACACAGAGTTAGGATGAACATGTACAGGGCTCTGGTCCAGAGTATTATGTAAAACTCTGGCCACTGTGTTACAGTAAGCACACTGTGGTATTGGAATGATGCAGCAAAGGGTAACTAAACAGAGCTGGAATTAGGCAGTCAGGACTCGAGGGAGATATTATTAAGGTATTCAAGATTCTAAACGACATTGGTAGCAATGTAATGAACTTACACAGAGAGCTGTGATTATGTGGAACAGACAGACTACCCAGGGAGCCAAGATTGTTTCAGCAAACTCAAGAGGAAATTACAGTTAATTTGGCAAAAAAATAATGAATCACAGGTGTGAGGAATATTGTGTTAACAGAAAAGAGATTCCTGAGTAATTGTAGCAACTATATTTGCAGCAAACAAGGATGCCAATTTGCATACAGCAATCAGCAATGAGGTGAATGACTATTTTTCCTGGAGGATTATTGGCAAGACACTAAGAGAAACTTTTCAATTAACATCGGAGCAGGAAGTCATTCAGCCAGTTGCACTGGTTTTACTAGTACATTTTCTAATTCCATTTTCCTTTTCCCCTTGATCCCCTTGCATTTGAGATAGTGCCTTATCAACATCATCGAGGCGTCTCAAAGCACGTCAATATTAAGTAAGGGGATTAAGGGGAAAAGGCGGTGTACATGCCTTCCCTTTGCATTAGAGAGACCCCAAACTGGGGGACATAATAAAATTAGAGCTCACGATGGTTTAGAAGTGAGATCACAAAACATTTCATCACCCAGACTGAAGAGACAGCATAAATTGGGATTTTTAAAAGAGATAGATCTGTGGTTGGGAAGTATTTTTTTGCCCAATAATACAGTCAATCCACTTTACAGGGTTAGTGTGCTGGGCTGTGAGGAGGGTGCAGTGGTATTGGCAAGTCTCCAGCAAAGACTGTAAAGCAGCTGGTCACTGAGCAGGTCCCGTCACTGAACAATGACCACAATTTGCTGTTGGTTTGGGGGCTTTTGTTTGGCTTGAAAGTTTGCAACTGGCTCAGAGCCAGGGAACTGCACAGACGCAGTCCCAGGCTGTGCCTCAGCGACGGGCACTCACTCCTGCTTCGTTTTAATTCACTCGCCTCACTGACCCTGAGCAAGCTCTGAGTTCCAGGATCTGAAGGAGGTGCTCAAAATAATGAAGGGTGTTGACAACGTCTGTAAGGACCAACGCTTCACTCCAGTTGGGGAATCTCCCCTCTGGGGAGAAGAGGACTTTAAATGTAGAGATAAAGTGATGAAAAGGGAGTCCAAAAAGTATCGAATCTACATGGTGCGATGATAGTATGGAATGGAACACAGGAATAGGAGCAGGCAATTTAGCACCTCAAGCCTGTTCTGCCATTCTATTGAAACATGGCTGATCCACCTCAACTCCGATCTTATAAGTCAATTATAATTGATAAATAATTAAAAATTAGAATGTATAACTCAACTCCAACATAAAAAATAATAATACAGCCAGAAACAGTTGTTTCAGGTGTTCAAGAAGTGAGAGATACAGTAGTTGGTATTTCTGGATGGTAAGACATTTGAAGAAAAACAGGGAAATTAAATTAAATGAAACATTTGGCATAGTCGCTCACAAAATATAGTGAATTATTACTATATTTGCTGTACTCTGTCCAGGGGCTTGGGGCGTCCTCCCGACGTGAAAGGCGCTATACAAATGTAATCTTGTTGTTGTTGTAATTCACTTTACAGTATACTCTGTGAAGCGCTTTGAGACGTCTTGAAGATATGATAAGACCCTATATCAATTAACTTTGCAATATATTCTGTGAAGCGCTTTGAGACGTCTGGAAGACGTGAAAAGCGCTATATCAAATGCAAGGATTATTATTATTAGATTGTGAAGCAGACTTTACAGACTACCCATGTTTCCAGATACACCCTGTGAACTGGTGTTATGTCTTGCCTACTGGGCGGGAGCCTAGATACAGCACAAGACACCCCTGTGAGTGCAGACTCCCCTGTGAGAACCATTGTGCTGGGGTTTCTGTCAGCTGCCCCATCCCCTGTCTTTGGGAGACTGAAGTTTGCACGGGAAGAGTCGAGCAGCAGGGAACTGGGGCTGAGAACCCCGCCACAAGAGCTCCACTCAGGAGCAAGGCCGTCAAAGCCAGCTCAACCTCGCCATTCGTAGGATTGTTAGTGATATCTCAAAGACGGCAGGCCAAGGGGCCTCCTGCTTCCAGCTCCCATTGTCTGGGCTAATGGAGAGATTTATTAGACATTCTCTTTAAAGCGTCACCGTTTTCTAATCCTGTTACCCTTAAATCCTCAGGTTCAAGCCCCTCCCCTCTTGGCAGCTGTCACTCCCAGTGCAACCAGCTGGGTCTCGGGCGGGGGCAGGAGGGTGGGGAGCCCTCTCCACGGGAGTCCTTTAATCACATTACTGGGTTTCCTCGAACCCCTCCCCTCCTCTCCCTCCTTCACCATCTACAGATGGTGCCACTTTGAAAGAATCAATGAGGCTTTTCTCTGAGCTGACACTCCCCTGGCAGCACCTTACACTCACTGGGCTCACACTTCCTGTCCAAATCGCACAGCCACACTTTCACCACTGGATCAATCACACATCACATCCTGGGCTGCAGGTAGGCCTGTTGTCCACCTTACTCCAACTCAGTTAAATCAAAGCTCAAGGACAAGAAAAAGCAGATTTTACAACAACAACTTGCATTTATATAGCACATCTCACGCAGGGTAGTGTCCCAGAGTGCTTACACAAGAACGTAATTTTGGTGGCCAGGAGCCATCAGCACTGAATAAAACCCAATGCTAACTTGCACTTCATAGGTCTGACTTTACTGAACTGGGGTTTGGTTCATAGGCGACGATGGACAGTATTAATGATGGGAGCTGAGAGAGGACTGGTTTCTGGGGTCAAATGACCCAGCCAGCTTCCTGGGAGTTATTTGATAGGAGTTTCAGACTCTGTCCGATGGGAGGAAACAAACAGGATGAAAGCATTCTGTGCTCAGTGACTGCTTTATCATGTTAAACTACTGCTGCCGACCAAAGCTGTCAGGGACCAAATGTCTGAATCTGGATCCATCCCAGCTGGATGTCGGGAAGCGAGGGGTGAGCAGGCTGAATTAACAGATAGCACAACTTACTCCCACACAGACTCCCCTGAACAGACATGAGACTTGGATCTCTACAGCTCCCTCTCAGTTCTGTCCGTGGCTGCTTTTCATTCGCGGCCATTCACCACATCAACCATCACCAGACAGCAGGCAGACCCGGGTCCCATGCACAGCGCAGTACTGTCCATGTCCCAGGGCATCCAGGGGTCTCCGCTCTGAGCTACAGACACCCTCCTTGATCTGAGTGAGGAAGGCGACTCCTGTCCATAACTCATCTCAGTTTTGTGCAGACAGACAGGCTCTATATCTCGTACAGTTCTTAAAGAGGATTTTGAAAGCTGGGAGTGAAGATAGAAAGTGAAAGGATTTGGGGAGAGTTACAGAAAGTGTGAGTTACCAAGGGTGATTGATGCTGAGCAGTAGTCCCAAGTGCAGAAGAGTGGAAGGGAGGGATATGAGAATAGGGCTATGGTACAGTTTGCATACAGAGTAAAGCTCCTTCTACACTGTCCAATGTGCATTATCTTATGAAAGTTCCTTAATCCCTCCATCACCCCCAGTTTGAATTCTCTGCTCTTGCCCATACCCCTCTAATACCTGTACATGCTCGTCTAATTTATATCCAAGGCTAAAAGTCACCCTGGCACATCATTCCATACCCTGACAACTCTCTGGGAGAAGAAATTCTGAATCTCACTTTTCTTTTTAAAATCACCTAATTCTTGTCCTCAAATCACCTACCAGCAGAAAAAGTTTTTCCAATGAATTCCTTGAAACCCTTTCATTATCTTAAAACACTTCTACCGTATCACCTCTCTCCCCTTTAACCTTCTATGCTCTTGATAGAAAGAGTCCTAAACTCTTTAGCCTCTCCTCACAACTACTGTATATCCTTTCATTTCTGGTATCATCCTCGTATATTCACCAAAGATATAGTATTCTCCCCGCTGCAGTGAAGTTGCATGATCCAACTGGAGTGAGTTTTAAGAATATGGCCCCCAAAACAGCACACAACATTCCAGATGTCATACAGATTTATCATCACCTCCTTGTTTTTATGTTCAATGGTCCTATTTGCCCTTTTTACCATCTCCTTCCTCTATCTGTAATTCCACTTTGAATGTACTGTATATTGTACCCACAGATCCCTCTTGTTTGTGCTTGTGCTCAGCCAGGTCAACCCTTAGCAACTGTTCACTATACACAGGAGCAATCAAAGTCTGAGCAGGAAGTTTCCAAAGCTCAGCTTTGTCCTCCTGACATCGACATGGGCTAAAACCAACCTCTCAAATTACATTCAACATCTCAGGATTTTCTCTCGCTCCCATTAGAATAACAGAGCAAGAGCCACGGCTCTGTTATCTTACCCTGAGGCACAGCACTTCGTTCTATTGGTTTTGGAAGCAGAATAGAGTGAGTGAGAGGCGGGAGCCTGGGCTGGAACTCCGACTGTGAATTCCTCCAGTCCCAGAGGAATGGGATCGGTCTGGCTGTGCCTCCGTCATGCAATCCGCTTTGAGCCTGATCTGAATTAAGTGCATACATGTGTGCTCACTATTGAATGCTTGTCCAATTTCAGTTGCATTGGTGGCTGAAGTTTTATGTACATTGGTTAAATAACAAACTATGGCACAGCTCCCTGCATCACAGGTTGAAATCCCACCTAGGGCCTCTGAACTCTGCTAATCTGGATGAAAGAGGATTATTGGCCAGGACACAGAAAGAACCCCCAGCTCAACTTTGCCTACAAAACTAACCATCACAAATAACAGTAAATACTGTGTGGCACTTCGAGACAATTCAACATTAAGTGTCATTAAAATTCTCATTAATTCTTTCTTTCAAATACGGTAGTGGGATCTTTACTGTGCAACTGGCAGCAGTAGGTTTAATATTTCCGTTAAGGTGAGACGTGCCAAATTGAACCTTAGCATTTGAGTGTTAACTACAAAAACTGCTTGTCCGGACAGTTTCTTTCATACCTGACCAGGAGATGAAGCCTGCTGCCATGAAATTGCATGATCCAACTGGAGTGACTTCAGGGAATTGGTTCATTATTTAAATTTCCTTCTTTGTTAATCCAGTCTGTCGCTGAACATTCCTCTCTTTAAAAGCCTCCTGATGTGGTCTGGAAACTGTTCAGAACGATTCCAACTTTCTAAAAATACTGTGCGGAGGAAAGGCTCTGGAATCCTGACCTCCCCCAGTCAGCCTCAAAAACATTTCCTGTCGGCACAGACCGATCTCTGGAGGAGGTGGGATGGGGGGGGGAGAAGGTGCATGAGACCACGGCTTTCTGACTGCACACCGTGTTTTGTGGGATTGGGAGAGGATTGTTACTTTGTGACCCCCTCCCAGTTTGCTGCTCAGTGTGATGCAGGCCAGGCCAGTTCTCTGGTGTGAGGTGCCTTCCCCAGGACTAAAGGCAACTCTTGGTGCTGCCCCAGTGGTTTGAGTTACGTCGGTGGGAGAGTTCCAGCAAACTCTTAAACCGTAGCATCATCCATCCACTCTGTTGTGCAATGAGCAATGTTCTGGAACAAACAATATACTTGTCCAATTCGCTCGAATGAATCAAAACTGTAGAATGCTCTCCCTCAATCCCTCCGCCTTGCCCCTCCCCACCCCCCCCCTCGCCTCTTTCAAGTCCCGCCTGAAAACTTCCCTCTTCAACTGTGCTTACGGCCATCTCCCCACCCCGGGCTCGGAGTCAGGCTCCGCCACTGTTAAGCGCTCTGAGATGCTACCGTGTGTGGAAGGCGCTATATAAGTGCAAATTGTTGTTGTTGTAATGACTCCTATCACTTGAGCTCACAGTCTAGGCTGACACTCCAGTGCAGCAGCATGAAAGCACTGAATTAACAGGAATGCCGTCCTTCATGTGCTATAAAATGCTATTTTTTAAAAAAAATTGCACCCACCCACTGCTGTTCTGTTCCCTCTCTATTAGCAAACTGCCTCTATCTGTGAGTACCGTGCCACCGCCCAATTCCTCTCTTCCCCACTCTCCATTAATGCACAAGGCTGTGAGGAGGAACACAACAGAAAAAGGAGGTGTGGATAGAAGAGTGAGCAGGTAGAATGCAAATGGAATTTTATGCAGAGAAAATTAAAGTAGGGCAAGGAAGGGAAACGTACCCTAAACTACAAGGTTCTAAGTGGAGTGAGAAGCAGGGAGTCCCGGACAGATCTATTGGAATCAAAATGGGATGTTTGATGTGATTAAAATTCTCACTGGCTGCAGGGTTTACAGTTGCTGCGTATCTCTGATGGCTTTCTGTTTCCCCGACAGACATCAGCTGCGGAAGATGAGGCCGACTCTGTGGGATGGTTATGTCGGGGTGATGGCGTTGGTGCTGCTGGTGGGCCAAGTGCCAGTCCAATGCTGCCCAGCCAAGTGCAACTGTGACAATGGAAGGATGCTGTGGTGCATAAAGAAAACTCTCTCTGCCATTCCGAGTGACATCCCCCCCGACACTGCCAACTTGTACCTCTTTCACAACGCCATCACCAGCGTGCAAGAGGGGGACTTTGCACAACTCCCAGAGCTTCAGCTGCTGGATCTGTCACACAACAAGATAGCAGCTCTCCCCAACTTTGTCTTTCAGCCCCTCGGGGGTCTCTCCAACCTAGACCTCTCCTTCAACCAGGTTACAGAGATCAACAACGAGACATTTGCTGGGCTTCAACAGTTGGAGCGCTTGTACCTGCAGAAAAATCAGATCCAAACCATCCAGCCAGGGGCATTTGAGATGTTGGTGAAACTGGTTGAGCTGAAGCTACAAGATAACCAGCTGCACAGCCTCCCTCCTCTGCAACTACCCACCCTCCTGCTCCTGGACCTCAGTCGCAATAGCATCCTGGCTACAGAGCTCAGGCTTATCAGAGCACCTGAAATAGAATCGCTTAGATTGGCCGGGCTTGGTCTCAGCGAGTTGGGCGAAGACCTTTTCAGCAACATGAATACCCTTCAGGAGCTGGACTTGTCGGGGAACCAGCTGTCCTCGGTGACCGCCCTGCGACACCTTGACCAGCTGACTGCTCTCAACATCTCCGGCAATAACCAGATTTCTCAGCTGAAGACCGAGGATTTCAAGCACTTCCAGAATCTACAGAAGCTGGACATCAGCAGCCTGCGTCTCATGACTGTCCCCCAGGAATTCTTTGGTCTCTTTCCCAATCTCAAGTTCTTGGCAGCTGCCAAGAACCCCTATAACTGTGTCTGTCAGCTGCACTGGTTCATCCATTGGGTGAGAGCGAGCCATGTCCTGCAGAGCCGGGAGGAGACTCGATGCCATTTCCCACCGGGCAATGCGGGCAAACCTCTCCACACACTTAGATATGAGGACTTTGGATGCCCGACCACCACGACTATGCCTGCGACAACCACCACCTCCCTGTCCTCCTTGTCAACCACTCTCCAGCAGCATCTGCCCAGCCATCTAGTCACCCACCCAGCAGGCATGGCCTTCTCCCTTGATGGGCCAACTGCCAGAGAAGTCACACCTGCACCCCGCCAGAGTAGTCCAAAGGTCCAATTGTGCCCGTCCACAGAGTGTCTGAATGGCGGCGTCTGTCATCTGGACAGATATAGGCACCACGTCTGCGTTTGTCAGCCCGGCTTCTCTGGTCAGCGCTGTGAGACGGGAGACAACAAGGTGGATCAACAAATCCATCAGAAGAGTGCTGTCAATGTCACGCAGATAACCAGCACTTCGTTCACACTGGATCTGCAGCCCTTCAAAGTGTCCGCCATGTACCTCAAAGGAATCCGACTGACCTACAAAAACAAGTCAGGACCCGACCCCAGGCCTGTGTCTCTTAACATCCCCACATCCCTCGCCACTTATAGCGTCCGAGGCCTGCAGCCCAACTCAACCTATCAGATCTGTGTTGGAGTGCTGGGGAGGACAGACTCAGTGAATGATCCCTGCGCAACTATACAGACCCGGCAGATGTTGCGGTTGGCTCCACTCGTACAGACAAAGAGCAACCTTCTCATGGTGCTCGGGCCTACCATCGCGGCCGTGTTCCTGGGCATCATCCTGGTGGCTGCTATATTCCACTACCGGAGGAAGCAGGGCCTGAAACAGCCAGGGTTAGGAGAGGATCCACCTCCCTACGACATGGAAGGGATGAAGCCCTGCCTGCAGAACGAGGAGATTGCCCGCTGTCACTCAAAGGAATCTGAAGGCCTAGCCCTGCAGAGTCACATGCCATTGATGCCCGACTCACTCAGCAACAATAACACTGCACCTCTGAAACCATGCGAACTTTGATCTCCAAAAGGTAGTAAGAAAATGCAGTGACACTTTCACAGACTAAATTCTGGACTGGTTCAAATGCAAACGTTCCAGTTATCGGGTGGTGGTGGTGGTGGTGGGGTGGGGGGGGGTGGAGGAGAAAAGAGCTGGGAGGGATCCAAACATATCCAGAACAACTACACAGATACCAACTCCAACACTGAGCCACCAGGATACAAAAACAAGCCCATTTGCTGACAGTCGTTAGCAGGATGCTGAGTATTCTTAAGATTGAAATTTTCCACCTCCCTTGCCTCACAGCCACAATGTGCATTCCACGTTTCACCACTTCAAGAGTGTCAGGACAATATAATGTGCCCTTGATAGATTGGTGGATAAAAGAGCCATCCAGTGCCGTACTGAGCTATGTACATCTAGGAAAATTGGGGGTTTGAATCCCGATCTGGACAGACAGTTGATCTCAGTTAGGGATATACTTAGCCTCAAAATGACTTTATTTAGGGAGTAGGGAAGCAAAACCCACCAACTAGGGATGCTACACCTGATCAATGTCCAGAGATGCCCTCTTCCCCCACTTCTCCCCCCTCCCCCAGGCCTCTTCTCTGGCCCCCACCCCCCCCCCCCCCCGGCACATACATGGATATCAGATGTGGTCCAAATTGGGTCTCAGCTATGTTGCCCATTACAGTACAAACACCTGCTCACTGCCCTGCATATACATAAAGAATGAGTACACTGGAGGGTGCCCATGTAATCATCAGGGTAAAGGATAGTTAGTCCTGGAACAGTACTCAACCCAGAGGTTGTAGCTCATGCCAGGTCAGTCTCATCTCGGACATACGCAACTGGCATAGAGCTCAGGCTGGTAACAGCCCAGGATCACTATGTTATTTCAATCCATAGGAAGGTGAAACTTTGAAGGAAAAAACTGTAAATACCATTGTTGCCAACGAGCAAACACTTATGCACATTCGCTTGCAAGCCAGATATCATGAAGCAACTAGCCCTTGAGTGGCAGTAGCCTACGTGTAAAAAAAACACTGCCCACAGTTAGCACAGTCACTGCCACAGCATCCCTGAGAACCAGACAGGAGACATGTGCCACCCCACGGGGACTGCTACCTGTACCATATGGCACTGACTGCATACAGTAGCTTGGACTGGGTACGCTAGGCCTGACTGCACGCAACAACCATCACTGTGTGCTCTAGCCTGGGCTATGTGCTGTAACCTGGATATGTGCTGTTGCTTGGGCTATTTGCTACAGAACTGATTGCACTCTATAATCTAGGCTGTGTTCTGTAGCCTGCTCTGCGCACTGTAGCACTAACTCTATGCTGTCGCCTTAGCTGTTTACTGCTGCCCGGGAGAGCACACTATGTACAATACAATATTTGTACTCAAATAAAATATTTTTCTAAAGAAGATGATTTTTATTTCCAATTAACTTTGTACAAAACCGGTGTGCACAGGAAGCTAAAAGTGTCCTAGAGAGGGATAAAAAGAGATGGGACACAACAAGGGGAGGGGGAAATCAAGAATGGGACACAGAGAAAGTACATTATAGAGAGTGGGATCATGATACAGGATAGTGTGTGGGTCAGGGTAACTGAAAGAGAGGAGTGGTCAGTGGTACAGGATTGGTGGTGAGGGGTTCAAGGTACCGGATAGAGAGGACGAGTCAGAGTACAGGACAGAAAGGGGGGGTCAGGGGGTGCAGAATGAGCAGGAAGTTAAAATGGGGTGTATATGATAAATTCTGTTCACATATTACAGAAATGGGAGAACGATGGGAGTTTTGCTGCTATTTTCAGTACTGTTTCCAGGATATTCTTTCCAGTCCTGTCTGACATGGCTATGCCACTCTCACCTCCCACCATCCCAGTCTCCGTGTAAAACCCGCCATGAGGCTGTGCCTCGCCGTGAGTGACTGAAATCAAGCTGTGAATAGCATTCCTGTGAGCAGCCACACAGGCGGGACTGTAGCCAGCCCACAACTGCAAAACAACTGATTTCAATTTGCCAGCTTTGCCAAACACCTCTCTTCGCTGGGGCTAATTAAATGTCCAGGACCTGCGTCCGAGCTGCAGGCAGATTAGCTCAGGAATTTCAAACAATGGGCACCACTGGACTGGCTCCAGATGACTGCAAGCAACTCTGCACAAAGTATTCTCAGCTACCAGCGAGTCCGACCCCGAGCAAGTCCCAGGTTGTTCTCATTTACTGGACTGTACAGACGTACAACATGAGTGTAAATCAGCTCTCAAGCACAGAGTGCACAGTGCTGAGCCCAAACACTGACATCAACTTGTGCCGGTTACACACCAGGAACCTTGGGGCTGGGCTGGGGCTACCAAGGCATTTCAAGGAATTTGACAGATATCTGAATACAAAATTTAAAAAGGTATTGGGGAACGGGCAGGGGAGTGAGACAAAATGAAGAGCTCTTTCAGAGAGCTGACACAAATACGATGGGCCAAGTGGCCTTCCTCTCTTCTGTAATAATACTCCTTGCATTTGATATAGTGTCTTATCATGTCGTTGAGACGTCTGAAAGTGCCCCAAAGAATATATTGTAAAGTGGATTGACTTGTATACTTTATTGACGAAACGCGGCATCCAATTGCGCACAGCAGTGTCCCACAAACAGTCGTGGATTGAGTGACCACATTTTTTTTTGGAAGGATTATTAACCCCCAGAAAGCGATCCATCAATCAAATAACAAATGGGTTCCTACTTACTGCTAGGTAAACAGAGGCGTGTGGAGTAAGAAAACTTGCCTAAGGTTCGCCCTGCCTGGAAATCGAACCCGGGTCCTTTCGCTTGTTAGACAAACACCTCTAATATTCTATGATACTAAAAACCAAGGTGTGTAAATCATTACGATGCCCTGAGTTAGATGACAGCACCCAGTGAGGAACTCGGCGCCTGAAGGGGGATTGTTCAGGTACTTCAGAAGGAAACGATCAAATACAAACCTTTCTCATCGACTGCCTCACTGCAGCCTGTTTTGAATTAAAACATCTCAGAAGCTGAAGGCGGGGGAGGCGGAGGAGTAACTGGCTCAAACTCCTTAATCCCAAAAGTACGCAGTTCTGTGGTCTCTACAGGAACAGAATTAGCAGCTTTGCACGGCAGTTCTGGCTGGCCAGATTCCCCCTCCACCACACACTCTCCCCCGGCATTGCTGTCTTTCTGAAGGAGTACTTTTGCGTGGGGAGATATTTGCTGAGACAGCTAGAAGAGGAACAGACTAAGGCAGCGTTGGTTTGAACACTCCCTTCCTGTCACAATAAGATGAACGTGAAGAACTCCCCCCATCCCCTCCCTTTCACATTCCTCCATCAGAATGTGAGCCCCATGGGGTCAACTCTAAAAGGCATGGGGATCATCTTCCAAAAGCAATACTCCAGTACATTTTAGGGATCATCTTTCAATACAACACTCAGTATGTTAGGGGTTATCTTTCAACAGCAGTAGTATGTGTTGTGAATATTTGAATGAATACTCACCAAAGAAGCGTAAATATATGACAAACTTTTCAGCGTGAAATAAAATTATCGTGTTTATTCTGTGTAAGTAACAGTGCACCAGTGTCTGAGCTGAGAGTGCAGATCTGCCTCCTCTCACTGCTGGGTGGGTCCTGTGATACACATGGTCCCAGGAAACATCATGTAGAAGACGTTTAGACATTTGGCATTACCTTGAGCTCCATGCAATCCTCGACACCAGCACAATTGTGCAATATACAAGAAATCACACCCTTCCTACATCACCCAGTAAACCTGTCAAGCCTCTGCCATCCTCTTCCCACACACCTTCCCTCCACTCCCACACAACTTCCCTCCACATCCACTCACACTTCCAGCCTGTCACACATCACCTCCCACAGAGGCTCGGGTGTGCTTTACATCAAGTTCCAGATAAATTCAATGTTGTACTGTGCCACATTGTAATTAATAATGCAGCCCCAGACTCGGTCAGAAATGGACCATCAAGCCATACAGCTTCTCAAAAGATTCTTGCCAACATCATCTAATAACCCCGACTCCTTTTAATTCCCAAGATATTTTTCATTCCCCTTTTGCAATCCTTTCACAAGGATTCTACCACCTGTGCTGCTGACTTGTTTTATGACTTGCCTGTCACCTTCTATAAAAACCTTTATGTGGGACATTGTCCCTTTTTGCGCCTTGGGACGTCCTCCCGACGTGAAAGGCGCTATACAAATGTAATCTTGTTGTTGTTTTTGGCCATGTGAAAAATGCTGTCCTCGCATATTCACTGCATATTCACTCCCGCAGAGAGAAAGTCTGCATAGACATTAATTAACCCGTTAACAGGGATAACTGTGACTCTCAAGTGCAAAGCCTCAAATCAATATAACTTGCACAGAGAGCACGTCAGAGCTGCCACTTACCCCTGGGCACTGTCCAGTGTCAATGTGCTGATGGAAGAGGTGAACTTGCGAGTATCCCACAGTTTGACCTCCCGTTCTCGAAGCTGGAACAGACAGAGGTGCATGGTCAATGTGGGGAAGACCCAATCTGTCCTGTATCACAGGCAGTATCCCCAGCGTTCCAATCCAACCTGCCAAGGGGAAGAGATACAGTACTGCACAGATAGGCGCTGGTACGCATGGGAGAAAGAAATATCGTGCTGCACACACACGGACTAGTCTTTATGGAGGAGAGAGTTAGCGCCACACACACTGGTCATTTGGTGTGAAGCGAGTGGATATAGCATTGCACACATGCCCAGTCAGTTTAAGGAAAGTAACAGAATGCAGCACACAGCACTGCAGTGGCATTGAGCCATCTCCTGGTAATTACAGAATCTATTGCTGCTGTATAGGAGCATTGGACTGGATGAAGTTCGGTGCTGCCCCAGGATACAAACCTCAGTTCTAAACCCCTCATAGATGAACTGCACTTCTTTGTTTTCCATTTCAAATGATGGTAAGAAAGATCCTCACTGATAAGTTAAATAAGCTTATCTGATTCCTGCCCTTAATAGCAAATTTCCAGGTTACTCGAAGATTTGACATGCTGACTCAAACACTTGCAGTCCTATTACCTGACTGAATCCAGTTGAAATGATATTCTCCGTCGAACTGAGCCAGATCACCCGGGAATCCTTGTTCGTCTTGTGGCCTTCAATGCTCTAGAAAATAATAAGAAAAAAGAAAAGTGTGTGTGTGTGTGTGTGTGAGGGAGTTAATGAATGAGATAGAGATATTGTTACCTCAATTCCTAAAACCTCATAATTTATCTACATAGTAAATAACAGTGGCCCCATGGAATGCCACTGTAGAATATAATTTCCCAGTGTAGCCCAGCATACCATTTGCCTTGTTTTTTGCTGCCTTGTTTGGACCTAGTGAGCAACAAGTCACAGCCCTGCGCTGCCTGTTGTTCAGGGTTTGTGATATGAACCAGACAGTGACTCCATGCCAGAGAAAACACCGGCCCCACACACACACACTGCCCACCTGAATCAGCAACTATAGCAATGCACTGATTCACAGCACAGGCAGGCACAGCTGTGGGACTGCCTGGAGCAGAGGAGAGCAAAACTCCCGCCCTCCTGCTGCCACAAGGGAGAACAAACAACCCAGTGTCGGCACACGACTCCACTGAGTGTATCCGAAATATTCTGACACATGATAGAATTGCTGCACCTGATTTTCCTCTCCTTTCTACTCGCCCACCACCTAGTGCATCCTTCTACCCCTTCTCTCATGCGCCTCTCTACTCACTTCCCGCCTCTTGCTCTCCCTTTTGCAAGCTCACCACTACATGGCCCCATTTTGCTCACTCTCCATTCTCGTACCTGCACAGCCAAGGAACTTGCTCTGGGGTCGAAGATCCGCAGTTTCTTATCCTGAAAAAGGCAAATTACAAATTGGCAAGACAGCAACAAGTTACATTTGTATAGTGCCTTTCACGTCGGGAGGACTTCCCAAGGCGCTGGACAGTGGATTTGGATCCAAGCTGGGATTTGGGATTAAGGGGTTTGGAGGGCAGGAAGGATAGGAGTAGGCGGATGACCGAAGGCGCGGTTGAAGAGGATTGTCTTGAGACCTCCCTGAAGGAGACAAGGGAGGGGGCAAGCGAAGCGACTGTGGATTGGGGTCCCAACAACAACAACAAAATTGGATTTGTATAGTGCCTTTCACGTTAGGAGGACATCCCAAGGGTGAAGGAAGAAAGGCTGAACACTCAACCGCCGATGGTGAGGCGGGCAGGATGGGGTATATGGAGCAGGCCGGAGCTCAATGAGCGGACAGGAAGACACTGAAAGCGCAGCTGAGCAGCAAACCCACATTATCAATTATCACACAGCTACATTTATCACATAATATAAGATAGCCACTAGGGAATCTAAAAGAGAATATAGAAGGAACTTCTTCTCGCAGAGGGGAGTGAGACTGAGGAACCCGCTGCCTGAAGCAGTGGTTAATCTGATAGTCTGGACGCATTCAAGAGGAAGTTGGACCTTCACATGAGGGAGAGGGGAATAGAAGGGCGTGGGAGGAGTAAGGACGGGTGGGGAGTATAAACACCGTGGACTATTTCCGTGCTGTACATTCTGTGTAAATCTTTATAAGTATAATCAGACATCAATCTTGTGATTTCCAGAGCCCGTACAAGCAGTGAGAAGAGAGTACAGCACCATCTAATGTCTACACAGAGTGCTACAGCCTATCCTGCAGCCAGGCTTAATGTTACAGAGCTCTGACAGCTCTACCTGGTGCCCAGTAAGAGGATAGCAGATTGTATTCTCCATCCTTGCTCTCCTATGATGTTCCAATGAACCACACAGCACAACCTCGAGGAACAGCACCTCATCTATCTGCTAGTGACCTTACAACCTTCTGGCCTCAATATTGATTTCAGCAATTTCAGACCATGACAGTTCACCTTCCCCCTCCCACTCTTCTGTGAGCATTACCACATCATCTGGGTCCCAGACGCACCTTTTCTCTCTCTGTTTTGTTGCCAATCCACCCCCCTTTGTTTTGCATCATTAACACCTCTTTAACCCATCATCCCCAGTCCTCTACCCCATTTACCCCTTTGTCTTCCTTGCCCTGCCTCCACCCTATCAGGTAGTCCTTAAAAGCCTCCCCCTCCCAACATGTCCCAGTTCTGATGAAGGGTCATGGACCCGGAACGTTGACTCACTTTCCTTTCTCCATATGCTGCCTGACCTGCTGAGTATCCCCAGCGACTTCTGTTTTTGTAGCAGGTTGTATTTCTGTTGTACTAATTTCTGAGCCAAGCTTCAGCATACAAGGGAAAGGTGAGAAAGGGAAAGTTATGATGGCCACATTGCTGACCCAGGCAGATGGATCCTCAGTTTAATGTCTCATCTGAAGAATGGCACCAACAAGAATAAGTGGGTGGGTGTCAGCCTGGCTCAGTCGGTAGCACTCACACCTCTGAATCAGAAGGTTGCGGGTTCAAGCTCCGGATCATAGATTTTGAACTCAACATAATCTAGGATGATACTCCAATGCAGTGCTGCTGGTATGCTGCATTGTTGTAGGCGCTGTCTGCCTGCCTGCTCAGGTGGATGTTAAAGAACCCAGGCACTACTTAAAAGGAAAAGGGAGTTTCTCCCACTGTCCAAGGGCTGAGAATAACAAAATAACATTTGTATAGCGCCTTTCACGTCAGGAGGATGTCACAAGAAGGGCTAAATGAGATTTTACCATCAGAATCTGGGCTGGTAGAGGATTGAGGGACCAATTGAGCCAGTTCATGTGGGAAATGAGAGGGGAAGACAGTTTTTATAGTACCTCTAACCAGGTCCTTCCCTTCCCCACCGCCCCCAAACGCTCTTTCTCCCCTTCATCGCTGCACTTACTTTACAGGAGGAACCCAGGAGGCTACCATCTTGTTTCCAACACAAGCTCTGGATCTGGTCACCATGGTCTTCGAGAGCTGGCAGCAGACAAAAGGTTTCAGCATTATGTAATGATAATCTTTGCATTTTTATGCAGTGCCTTTTTATCTCATTATCAAAACATCCTGAAGTGCTTCATATGATTTACTGTAGTAAAGTGTAGTGACTAATTGGCAACGTACTACAAACGACCATGAAGTGAGTGACCAATTTTATCTGGAGGATTGTTGGTCAGGACACCAAGAGAAACTTCCTTCCTTTTTTGAACAGTGTCATGGGCTCTTTAACATCTGCCTGGACAGACAGGTGGGACCTTGGTAAGAGTCTGAAGGATGATACTGCTGACAATACAACACAGCACGAGCACTGAAGTGGAGTGATAGTCTCGACTGTGAGCTCAAAGACCCAATGTGGTGATCAAACCCACAGCCTTCTGGCTGATACCCTCACTCAGGCAGAGCAGGAGGAGGGAGCTAAAGCATGGTGCCTGGACAAGAGAGAATGTGCCTTGAAGGGCACAGATCAGCATCAAGGAATGAGAAACTAAAATGCCCACAGGCCCTGCTTTAGCGCACCAAGATTACACACAGGCCCCACTCTAAGGTAATGGTAGTGGATGAATGTTCATGCACAGGAAAGATTCATCCCACTCTCACCTACGAAAGCTTTCTGTCGAGTCAGGTCCCAGACCTTGGCTGTATTGCCTGCTCCAGTGGTGAGTACACCATCTGCAGCGGGGTGGAAGAGCACACATTCAATCCTCACAGCTTCAGGCCCGAGGGTGACAACGGCCTCCGACTTTGCAGAAGACCCAGAGAATCTCCAGAGTTTCACCTGACAATGAGAAATAGAGAGAGATGAGGAATGACAAAGACTCATTCACCAGCGTAGCCTCTAGCTCTCCACATTGCCCGCTCTCGATCTTTAAATCCCACTTTAAACCCTAGCTCTTCTATTGCGCCTATGATCACCTCCCCTTTCCTCCTCGCTCGGCTTCTAACCTCGCCACTGTAAGATGCACCGAGATGTTATCCTATGCGAAGGGCCCAGGTTGTTATAAGAAAGAGGCACTTACCGTCTCGTCAGCTGAGCACGTGGCCAACAGCCAATCATCAAATGGGCAGAAGTCAAAATCTGTCACTGCATCTGTAACGAGAGAGATAAAATAATTATGTTTTTGATCAAGGTGAAGCAGTACATTTTGGGGAAAAAGAACAAAGCAAGGAGGTTTACCCAGAATGGTAACTTAATGATGCTGCTGAATAGGGGTGCAGATACATAGATCTTTACAATAACAAATTACATTTGTAATTTGCCTTTCACTTCGGGAGGATGTCCCAAGGTGCTGGACAATCAACGGTTTGTTCTTTAAAGGTGGGAGTGCAAGGAAAAGCCATTCAACACCCAGTAGAAAAATCCTTAAAAAGGTAAATGGATCCTGGGTTTATAATCTGGTCATTGAATCTAAACACAAAACAGTTAGTCTAACAGTTACATTTATCTACAACACTGATTAGTCCACAAATATACAGTCTATTCACTTTACAGCATATTTTGTGAAGAGCTTTGGGACGTCTAGAAGACGTGAAAAGCGCTATATCAAATGCAAGGATTATTATTATTATCATAGTCAGCGGTTGTAACACAGAAAGGAAATCACGCAAGAAAAGGTTTCAGTGGAGATTCACAGAATGTTACTGTATCGGAGTCACAGGGATCTAATCAAGGTCTTCAAAATTCTGATAGATTGGCGAGAATAGTTAGTGAAAGATTATTCCTACTAGTTGGTGAATCAGAAACAATGGTATAAATTAAGAGCTGTCTCTGGAAGAATGTAGGGAAGGTTGGATGTATTGTAGCTTGAGTTACAACAGCAGCAATTAGAGGACAATTAGTAATTAGTGGGGTGGGCGGTGTCCCAGGGCATGAATCGAGCCACGAAAAACTACAGCATTATTCGAGGCTGGGGAATGATGGCAGGTGCCAGGCTGCGAGATAGCAGCAGGCAGGTTGTCAGGCTGGGGTGGCACGCAGAGTACCAGGTGGGTGGTGGCAGAAGTGCACTGGAAAACCGTAGCGCAGGGTGAGGGGGACAACGACGGGTGATGAACAGGGCCACGTGCCCTGACGGTTGCACAGGTCTCTGCTGAAGACCCTTCTTTTCGACCGCGCCTTTGGTCACCTTCCCCCCTCCACCGGGCTCGCCCCCGGGATCCGAAACTGTAAAGCGCTCTGAGACGCCGTCTGGCGAGGAGGGTGCTATATAAATCCAAGTTATTGTAGTTGTTGTTGCACTGCTTCTCTTGCTTACCTCCATGGCACGGAAGTTCAGACACCAGCTGCTGTTCCCGGTTTCCATTTTCTAGAGGCACAATTCCAAGACTTCCTGCTTGAGCACAGGATAGAAAAAGATTCTCAGAGCTCAGTCTGCTGAGACAAAGCAACATTCCACATTCAGGCTCAGTGTGGGTGTGGTGGGTATGTGTATGGTTGGAATCCCTCGCCCGAGCCCAATCCCACTCCCTTGCCTTCTTCCAAGGACCGTCTCAAGACTTTCCTCTTTGATCGTGTTTTTGGTCACCCTCTCTTGCCCTCCACCCCTCTTGCTTCCAATCCCCAGCTCGGGTGCAAATCCCTATCTGTTATTGTTGTATGTGTGCTCTAAATGTCTCACCCTTATGCTGGAGGAGTGGGGTGTGTGGGAGTGGCATAATCCAATGCCTCACACTCAGCGTGGGCACTTGTGGGCTCATGAAAGCTCTACTATGTTATTAGCTTATTAATATACATACACCCCTTCATTTTATTAGTTTTCAGCACAACCATTTCCATCTGTATTTCATGGTTAACATGAGCAAAACAGTCACCCATGCACATACGTACTTACCTGGCCCTCTCTACTCACTTACCCTGACCTGGGCTGCCACACTCTCTCTCTTACGTACACATACCTGGGTTGCTTGTACTAAAGGCGATGAGGGTGCTGCTTGATTTGATGTGGTTGCTGCATGAAGGAGCAGGGGCTGCTCTGATGTCAGTGATCCAGGCCTGCAGACCAAATTACAGAACCATGACACCCTCCTCCTATTAGCATCATTCTGTCTCACATCAAATCATAATCCTCTCTCTCTCTTCCTTGTTGTATGCTGTGACTGCTTTCTCTGTACCCTATGACTGTCGTCCATCTGTCTGTACCCCATGACTCACAGTATATCTGTCTAAGACTCTAATCTCATTCTCTCTCTATATCGGGTCACTTTCTAGTCTATTGCTCTCTGACTAGCTAACCAGCTGTGAGTTCAGTCCCGTATATATGTATTCAGGAAGTTTCTTCAAAAACACACACTTTACTGATGTTCACATGTTGTAGTTTTCAGAATTAATGTAACTAGATCTGGAATCTATCTGTAGCTTTCAGATTATGGTAAGCAGAATTATAAAGCGTTAGTTTGCCTTAGCTGCCTCCAGCTGAAAAAAAAAATGTGTAGGAATTCAGCTCACACTCCAGTGTAGTGCTGGGAGAACACTGCAATTTTAGAGGTACCATCCTTCAGGCGAGACATTAAAACAAGATCTCATCTGCCTGTTTAAAGGTCCTATAATACTTGTAAAGAGAAGTTTTTCTCAGTGCCCTGGCCAACAATCCTCCACGTAAATTGGTCAATCACCAACTTGTAGAACTTTGCTGTGCATAAATTTCCCGCAGTTCCTTCCACAGTCACTACACTTGTCAACAATTCCCTGTCAAGCCACAATGAGGTGAATGATCAATTTATCTGTTAAATTGTGGGCAGGACAAGATGGGTCAAAGCAAAGCACGGCCCAATCCCTGCTATTGCAAACTGTAATTTCCTCTCTCTGTATCTCACAGGCAAAGAGGCAGCAGTTAGCAACCAAAGAGACAGGAAGGATGTGGTCAACTCCTCACAGCAAAGCCAACTCTCTTCTTGAATAAGGAACAAAAAACAACATCTTGGACGTATGTAGTGCCTCTGCATTAGCTGATCACATCAAATCCATACGCAGGGAATTAACATCAGCGTGGTGTAGTGCGGTGCGGTAATCTGGGTTACACTGCAAAACAACCTGGTTCCTATCCATCACTATCAGGAGCTGTGACTATTCGCTCGCTGCCTGCAACCCATACTCGCAAAGCACCTGTCCCATCGCTCACGGTGAACACAGTCTCAAAGTACAGGCCCTCTGCGGCAATACAATAGACAAAATTACATTGGTATAGCGCCTTTCACGCCGGGAGGACAATGCGTCCAGTGGGGAAACAGGTTTAGGGCAAAGAGCTGAGGAGACATCCCATCCGGCAGTCAGGAAGCACAGGACTCAAAATGCACCAAGAACCTTGTCACAACACATCCTCAGCAACACCCATCCCTGTAATCATCTCAGTCATTGTGCCCCTCCTCAGTCCCTCCACCCTATGCCTCCTTTCCCACCCTAATCCTCTCCGGCTCGGACTCCACATCCACGTCTGACCCTGACCCAACCACTCCTCCCCCAGGTTGACCCCTCTCCACAGCCATGACCCCCTCTCCACAGCCATGACCCCCTCTCCACAGCCATGACCCCCTCTCCACAGCCATGACCCCCTCTCCACAGCCATGACCCCCTCTCCACAGCCATGACCCCCTCTCCACAGCCATGACCCCCTCTCCACAGCCATGACCCCTCTCCACAGCCATGACCCCCTCTCCACAGCCATGACCCCCTCTCCACAGCCATGACCCCCCCTTCCACAGCCATGACCTTTCTTCCCCACAGCCGTAACCGCTCTCCCCCTGTCCTGTTTCCTTCCCCTTCCCCCACATGACCCCTCTGCCCTGAGCCCCGACCCGCCTCCCCCCACCCTGAGCCCCGACACTCCTACCCCCACCCAGCCCCGATTCCCCCTCCCCCCCAGCCCCGACCCACCTCCCCCACCCTGAGCCCCGACCCTTCCCCCCACCCAGCCCCGATCCCCCACCCTGAGCCCCGACCCTTCCCCCCACCCAGCCCCGATCCCCCACCCTGAGCCCCGACCCACCTGCCCCCAGCCCCGACCCCCCCAAGGTTAGCCCCCCCCCCAGGTTAGCCCCTCTCCCCCCCCCCCCCAAGGTTAGCCCCTCCCCCCAGGTTAGCCCCTCCCCCCCCCTGAGCCTTGACCCCCTCTTGTCTTCCCTCAGGTCCGGGCGGTCCCTGTTCAGAGCGCTGTTGCAGTGACCGGGAGCCGCTCTGTCGCCCTCGGGCTGAGCGCTCACTCACTCACTCACTCACCGCCCGCGGCGGGACCTGCGCCGCCGTGTTCCTGAATTTGGAGACTCTGAAGCGGTTCATGGCCGCTGTGTCTCCGGCGACTGAGCGGCTCCGCCAACGGCGATGGCTTCCGACAGCGACTGTTCAGCCTCAGCGTGTGGGTCCCCGACAGCAGCGATCGCTCCGTCAGCGATTATTGGGACTGACTCCCCCCCACATGTCAATCACAGCACAAGCCCCGCCCCCCAGGTGACAACTCTCATCACTGCCCCTGAGGCTGCAATCCCTCCTGTGTCTGTCTGTCTGTCTGTGTGTGTGTGTGTCTGTCTGTCTGTGTCTGTCTGTGTGTGTGTGTGTCTGTGTGTGTGTGTCTGTCTGTGTCTGTCTGTCTGTGTGTGTGTCTGTGTGTGTCTGTCTGTGTGTGTGTGTGTGTCTGTCTGTGTGTGTGTGTGTGTGTCTGTCTGTCTGTCTGTGTGTGTGTCTGTGTGTGTCTGTCTGTCTGTGTGTGTGTGTGTCTGTGTGTCTGTGTGTGTGTGTGTGTGTGTCTGTCTGTGTGTGTGTGTGTGTGTCTGTCTGTCTGTGTATGTGTGTGTCTGTGTGTGTGTCTGTATGTGTGTGTCTGTCTGTGTGTGTCTGTGTGTGTGTGTCTGTCTGTGTGTGTCTGTCTGTGTGTGTGTCTGTCTGTGTGTCTGTCTGTGTGTGTCTGTCTGTCTGTGTATCTCTGTCTGTCTGGGGAGGGGGCACAGTGAGCGATTCGGAAGCCACAAGACCAGATTCCACAGTGTCTCGTGCTCCGAGTTCGAGTCACGTTTGGCAGAGCCTTCCCTGGAACAGTAGGAACTTGTATTTGTGTAGCGCCTCGAGTCAAGTCCAAACACATCTCAAAATGCTTCTCACGCGATGGGTCGTGGAAATCTGAAACTCCTTCCCCTCAGAAGCTAATTGCTACCGATCCCTTTGCGGATAAGTAGACAGTACAGATATTTGGAGATCAAGCAGAATATAAGTTAACTACAGCCACACTAAAAAAAAAGTTATACTATAATAATAAATAATAATCCTTGCATTTGGTAGAACACTTTTCACGTCCTCTAGATGTCTCAATGCGCTTCACAGAATATACTGTAAAGTGAATTGACTGTATATTTGTGAAACGGGGCAACGAATTGCACACAGCAGTGTCCCACAAGCAGTCGTAGATTGAGTGACCAAATTTTTTTTTAAGCATTATTAACCCCAGAAAAGCAATCCGCCAATCGACTAACAACAGGATTCCTAGTTACTACTGGGTTACCAAAGGCGCATGGAGTAAGGAAAGTTGACCAACATTTCACCCTGCCAGTAATAGAACCCAGATCTCTCACTTGCAAGGTGAGTGGTGAGTGCTCTAACCACTGAGCTACAGGACTAAATATCTGGACTGTTAACAGTATCAGGGCTTCCAGTTGGATAAGAGATAACGGAGGCACTCACTTTTGATTTTAATGCTTTGTACCGTGACAGATCCATATAAAGAAGGATAATTCGAAACATTGATATTAAACAATCTCTGAAAGTGTGCCACAACACTTTTGTTTTCAAACTCACTTGTACCAAATCCCCATTCTGGCAAATCAGATTTCTGTAAGTCTGCATTATGCATAGCGAGGATAAATAGTCAACCTTTAAATCCCCCTTTTCAATTTCCTCCATGCTTTTGTGTGGTACTGTCTGTATAATCCATAATTTACAATTTAAAATAATATTTTTCCAAAGTCCAGCTCTATTGAACTCTATATACATACACACAGTCGCACACATACAGACTTCATTTTGTGCATTTGGGAGTGTTGTCTCTTCTAGTTTCTGAACAGTCCAGCTCCCTTCAGGGTTGTGGGACGTCCTCCCGACGTGAAAAGCGCTATATCAAATGCAAGGATTATTATTATTATTATTTGGTGCTGGTTCATGTGTGCAGGTTACTATCATTATAGTATTGGTATGTGCCACACCTCTTGCTAATCTCTCTCTCTGAGAGTGTCTTTAACTTTCTATCTCTGTCTGCAACCCACGATTTCAAGATGTAAAAATACTTACCTTCTCCACCAACAAAAAAGCATGTTACTGAATATTGTGAAGTTGCTCATGAAGTTGCTCGGCTTCTGTAACCCAAAATGTAGCGTGCAGTTTAGTACATGTGCAAAACACTTTATTTATGCTGGTACCTTGCAGGCTCGCAAATCGGAGTACCGTGTGGATGAACAGACATGCAGATACATTGGCGTTCACTGTAATATATAATGTAAAGGAGTGTGAGCCTATTACTATGAGCTCAAGCCTTGACACTGGACTTGAACCAAAATTTGCTGACCCAAAAGCGTGATTGCCAGCAATTGAGCCAAACTGAAACCCAGTAGGTATCAGTAAGGGAGAAATATCCTGCAGTGCACAGTGGCCTGGCCTGAATACAGCAAGTGCTAGAGGTCAGTGAAAAGGTAAACTCAAGTAAAAGTAAAAGAAAAAATAGGCAACAGGAGAGGAAAGAGAGAGAAAGGCTGGGGGTTGTAGAGAGAGAGAGCATATTGGAAAAACACAAAGTAACTAAAATAGTAATCCTTACATCATTTGACTACAGTATCAACTGTAAGAAACCTTCTAAGAAACTAAGAACACTTCTGAGAAAGGAAAGCAGGGAGTACAGTCTGATTAATAAAAAGAGGGCAAGAAGAATAAAGAGAGAATGAACCAAAAAACATATGCGATAGAAAGAGATAAAATGAATAGGAACAAGTGGGTCTGAGGAGTATATAAAGTAAGACATAAAGTGTATGAATCTAGAGACCAGAATAGCGTTGAGAAGGAACTTTATTTTAACCTTCTCTTCATGCACTGTCACCTACTGGAGTGAGTGAAACTGCCTGTAAGAGGAACAGAGACTGTAAAACCAGGCTAGCTATCCAGTATTGACTGAGTTGTTACCCATTAACTGGAGGAGCTCCTGCAGCAGAATATGACAACACACAAGTTCTTGCAACTTTCAAAGTCACTTCTCCCAATTTTCACTTTGGCCATTTCCACATCATTGTTTGAGTGATTTTAGAGGAACCCTTCATACTTTCTGTCTGAATAATAATAATCCTTATATTCGGTATAGCGCCTTAGGTAAATGTGAAATGACAACATGCCTATATTGCACTGAGGCAGATGCTTGGGGTCTCTCCAATCTATATATCAAATGGAAAAATGGCTGCACGTTCTCCTACAAATGCAACATCAATAAATTTGAATTGTGCTTTATTTCAAATACCTGTGAATTGCTTTGTGATGTTTTGACATTCTAAGTTCTTTTATTAAGTGCAAAGATATTATAACCGCATGTATTCCACGTGCATTGTAATAATACAAGTGCTGGATGCTGAAAGCACGAAAAGCATGGAACAGCCATGAAGTGACCAAGAAAGGTCACAGAATCATCGAATCATGAAGGCGGCCATTTGGCCCATCGTGTCTGTGCCGGCTCTTTGAAAAGAGCTATCCAATTCAATCCCACTCCTCCACACTCTCCCCATAGCGTGGAGTCCTGCAGCTCAGTGGTTAGAGCGCTCGCCTTGCAAGCGAGACACCTGGGTTCAATTCCAGGCAGAGGGCGAAACCTCGGGCAAGTTTCCTTACTCCGCACCGCCTAACAATAATAATCCCTCCAAAAAACAAAAACAGCGATAAACTGGGTCATTTTCAATCCGCGACGACTGTTTGCGGGACGCCGCTGCGCGCAACTGGCTGCCGCGTTTCGCCCTCCCCGTCCCCCCCCCCCCACCCCCCCCAAAAAAAAAAAATACACGGTCAGTTCACTTTACGGCGTAGTCGGCGAAGCGCTCGGAGACGTCTCGAAGCCGTGAAAAGCGCTGTAATCCAATGCGAGGATTATTACATATTATTATTATTATTATTATTATAGCCTTTGCAAACTTGTCTTGCCCAGACAGGATCAGTTACCAACACTATATATAAAAAAAAGGGGGGGGGGTGGGGGAGAATATGATAACTCCTGAATAAATAAACCTGTAGTGCAGACAGTGCAGTGATGAACTGTACCATATGGGACTGACTGAGAGCCCTCAGCGCAGGCGCAGTGGGCGGCAGTCGGGAGGCGCAGGCGCAGTGGGTGGCAGTCGGGAGGCGCAGGCGCAGTGGGCGGCAGTCGGGAGGCGCAGGCGCAGTGGGCGGGAAGGGAGGGAGGGAGGGGGGGGAGTAACAAGATGGCGGCCGCCGCTCGCTGTTACTCGCGTCTGTTGTCGGCCACCCGCGGCCCGGCCGCGCTGCTCGACACCGGGGCGGCTCTGCGGCCGCTCCGGTCCCGCACCGTATGTACTTTATTCGGGAAAAGCCACGGCCCGGGCTCTGCTGGGGGCCTGGGGGGGTTGAGGCTGGGCCCGGAGCCGCGCCTCAGGCTGTCAGGTAACCGGCACGTGTGGACGTCAGAGCCGTCAGGGGCTTCAGTAACGACCGTTCGACATCACCGCGCCTGTAAATGTCGGGAGGGCTGTCTCGGGAGCACCTTCACACAAATTCACCTCAGCCGCGAGGGACGGTATTTTCACCCACCAAATACACAGTCACTACACTCCACCGTGCATTCTGTGAAGCGCTTTGAGCGATGTCTCAACGATGCGATAAGGCGCTGCATCAAATGCAAGGATTATTATAATTATTATTATTATTATATGTTCTACACGGACCTTTTTAACCTATTTCAGTTCGGCCGCAATGGCCGCAACGGCCGCTTTGGCAAAATGATTAGAGCACAGTAATAATAATAATAATAATAATCCTTGCATTTGATATAGCGCTTTTCACGTCGGGAGGACATCCCAAAGCGCTTCACAGAACACACTGTAAAGTGAATTGACTGTATATTTGTGGGCGAACGCGGCAGCCAATTGCGCACAGCAATGTCCCACAAACAGTCTTCCAGTTTAGGTGTAATGGGTCAGACTCCCCCGGAAAGGGCGGTGGAAGACGATTCGCTCACAACTTTTAAGAGAGAAGTAGATAATTATTTGGGCAGGACAAGTTCGCAGGGCTATGGGGAGAGCGGGATTGATTTGGGTAGCTGTTTTCAAAGAGTCGGCACAGACACAGCGGGCTGACTGGCCTCCTCCTGTGCTATGATTCTATGAAGTGCTCTGGGACCCTACTCGGCGATATATAGATGCAAGTTGTTGTTATTCTTTATTTGTATCTGCTGGATGTCAGATGGTATTGAATCAGCTTTTGTCCTGTGCCCAAAATCCAGCGCAGTGCCCAATTGGAAATTGAGACATGGCTGCTTGCATTCCTCAATCTCAACTCATCCCATTATAGAAAGGATGTTCTAGAGATGGACCAGTGTAGATTTTCTAGGTGATGCAGGATATGAGACAATCTATGACTGAAGAGAGGGTAGTTAACTTAGAGGTTTTTCCATTGGAGCAGATTGACAGGAGAATAATAATAATAATGTTTAAGATTCAGAAGGGTTCTATATAACAAGTTAAATATATATATTTTTAAGAATTCCCGTATGTATTCTGATAAGAGGTATAACTTGAGGATTGTAAGCAGAAGAAGGAGAGGCTGGATAGAATTTCTTCACTTAGAGAACTTTTAGAATTTGGAGATGATTTCATCTTCAAGCATATGTGTATGTGACCTTTGTTCTGTGGATGGATATCTAGAAGGGCATCTTCTCCAAACACATTGTTCTATTCAAAGCCAGGCTGCAGGTATCCTCTAGCCATTATTGGAAAGGTGATCACTAGCTGAAAAAAGCTTCCTGATAAACCAGGCTGTCAGTAGGAATGAATAACTTTTAGATTTAACCCTGTGAAGGATTTTTGCTTGTGCCTGGGTTTAAGCCAAGTGGCAGGACTGTGATATTTTAAGTGCCAGGATGCCAGCAGTGTCACCAGCAACATCTGAAATTCAGGCTTCCCGACTCCACTTGGAGTCAACCAACTGAGGGCTGTCATGGGATTTTGTAGTGACCAATGCTACAAAGACATTGAAGAGATGTTTTGAAGGAACGCTAACCTTGTGCCATTGCTACTGCTCTTGAGGTTTTTGTATGAGTGGGTGCACCTTTAAAAGGCTGCTGAGTCAGGAGGAGGAGAGAAAAACAAGCGTCTTTGTACGATTCAACACTGAACCAGTCTGTGCAGTAAAACCAATGGATGTTTCTTTCTTGTTTCTTAAGGTTACGCACAGCCGGCTGTCTGTGTTTCTGCGTTTCACACCTCCGCTCGTGTAGCCAAACGCGATTACTATGAAGTGCTAGGGATTCCACGAAGCTCTACCCAGAGGGAGATAAAGAAAGCATATTATCAGGTAGGAGAGTGTGATTGGAAGCACTGTCTTAACAATGAATGTGATTGATGTAACTCTTTGTAACATTGGGCTGTAAGTGTAACACTTTCTCTTGGTTTTATGCAGCTCGCCAAGAAATATCATCCTGACACAAACAAAGAAGACCCAAAGGCAAAGGAGAAATTTTCCCTGGTTGCAGAAGCCTACGAGGTAATAGATTTTGCAATGTTTTTGTTTCCAGTTGGGGTGTATCACTGCTTCCAGAGTCTTACTAGATATCATTTGAATGCCAAATTAGCGAGAATGTATGCTCCTCAATTATAGTTGCCAAGAAAACAAGAGAAGTGGCCTGACCGCAGATAGATGTGTTGGTGTTCAATACATTGGGGAAGAGTCTGTGCTCTACGTCGGGGACAGCGTGGAAGAGAGAGTGTGGTTAGGGTCTGCACTGAGATGGGGGGAAAAGAAACAGGAGGGTTTGAGTCATTTTTTCTCCATACCTCTCCTCAATCTGTCTGAGTTTAGGAGGAGTATGCTTAGACTGAGCTCCTCCTGAATTGCTGTCAGAAGTAGGGTACAACAACAAAAGCTTGCATTTATATAGCACGCTTCATACTCAGTAGTATCCCGGAGCCATGATCTTAGCTCTCCATTGTTGTGGGAAATGGCTGTTTGTTTTCCCTCATTGCCTGAGAGCTGCTGGGTCAGGGATAGATGAAACCCACTCCTCTGTAAGCTGGACTGTGTATGCGGCAAGTACAGGGAACTATTCAGCAAAAGCCATCACTGTATTTTGAAGAGGAAGCCGAATGCTGTGAGGTAGCCTTGTGACTCGCTGGTGCTGGCACGTGACCTCCCCCAGAACAACAAATTGACCTTTGTCCTTCAGTGAAAGTTATTGCTACTGATTGTATAGAATGTTAGACCAGCATGCAACTTAGCAGGAAAGACACTGAGGCCAAGAGTCTCTCTTTATTGCTCAGCAGACATACCATGGCTCCTCAGCTAGAGTAGCAATCAGGGCTACAGTTGACCTCAGCACCCACTGGGCTAGGGAAGAGTGGAATTTCAGCTAAAGTTCTAATTCCTGATTACTGTCCAGAGAACCTCTGTTGCACGTTCTATGGATTTTGGATGAGGAAAGGATTTCAGCGCCTTGGGACGTCCTCCCGACGTGAAAGGCGCTCTATAAATGGAATCTTGTTGTTGTTGTTGATGGGGCTTGACTCCACCACTGTTAAGCGCTCCGAGATGCCACCCAGCATGAAGGGCACTGTATAAATGCAAGTTGATGCTGTTGACTATGATGGCCCTGCTACCAGTATGAGTGGTCGTATAAGAGTGACACGATTTGTTAAAGAATATCTGCTTTCCCAAGATTATATCAGGCTGATCCTCATGTTAAGAGTGCAGATGGCTGCATCTAGCAGAGTAGTTTGCAGCAGCATGGACCACGTACAGGTGTGATATGTGGGTGTTTTACTTTGGGAGCTGTTCCACAGCACATGCCTTGTGGTGGGTGCGAGATAGTGTGAGATACTCACATGCTCTGCTGACGCTCTGTGCCGTTGTACTGTTCCAGGTGTTGAGTGATGAGGCCAAGCGTAAACAGTATGATACATATGGAACTACGGGCTTCGATGCTGGTACAGCCGGGCAGCACCACTATTGGCAGTCTGGCCCCTCCATGGATCCCGAGGAGCTCTTCAAGCGTATCTTCGGAGAATTCTCAGGATCTCGATTTGGAGATTTCAGCAACATGTTTGACCAACCCCAAGAGGTGAGAGAGACTCGGTACCAATATTCACCCAGCTGCAATCCAGCGCTCAGGCCGTCCTGATTGGGAGGGACTTTGTGGGGAGGGGAATTGTGGTGTACCTTACCTTGAGCATCATTCCAGCTTCACAGTTGTGATGTGTAATGTTATCTCTACGTTCTATTTCCTCAGTACATCATGGAGCTGACATTCATACAGGCTGCGAAGGGAGTGAATAAGGAGATGATTGTGAACCTTGAGGACACTTGCCAGAGGTGTGATGGCAAAGGTCATGAGCCAGGAACTAAAATTCAGCATTGCCATTACTGCAATGGAACCGGCATGGTGAGTGCCAGCTTGCAGACCGTCTCAGTCATCCTGAGCACAGCGCAATGTGCGTTCACCTACGGGTGATGGGACTTTACCCCAGGTTTCACGGTAAAATCCTGTCAAGTGCTTTGAGAAATCTCGGCATAAGGCACTATAGCAAATGCATGGATTATTATTCATTCTTGCAGTTCCTTAAATGGTTTGCCAAGAAATGGATCAGGATTTCTGCATGGCAGGAATGTGGTGTTCACACTTGGCTTCAGAGCAAGGTTTGCTTCAGCTGATGTACCCTTTGCTGGTCTCTAATCTAGACGTAACATTTAAAGAGCTTAAGCTGTATTAGTAATTGCTTGAGATGTCTTGACGTTATAAGTGCTGTTAAAATGCAAGTTCTTTCTTTAGTTAGCTTCTGTGCCTGGCAAACTTAATTGTAATTAGGCGATTAAATATCTTCATACGAGGTCGTTCTGTGCTGCGTACGTTATGCTAATTTCTGTTCTCTGACATGGCTGAGACCATGGTTAATCACACCAGACGAGGAGTTCCTTTCAGAAGCCAGGCATTTCTTGGACATGAATGAAAGTTAAAGTAAAATTTGGAATTTTACATCATGTTATGTCAAAGTCAATAATTACTGTCAAGTGTAGTGATTGCTTTGTAGGCAAACATCGTAGCCATTGTGCAAAGCAAGATCCACAATCAGGAGTGAAGTTCCAATTAATCTATAGGATTTTTTGTCAGCGAGAAACTCGCTCCTCTTTTCCAATTATGTTATGATATCTTTAGTGTCCCCCTGAACAGGTAGTCTCAGCCAAATATATTTCCTACAAGAATATAGTGCTTCCCTAATAATGAGTCCTGTGTAATTCTGTGGCTCTCTTCTTGCAGGAAACTCTAAACACAGGACCCTTTGTGATGCGCTCCACGTGCCGGCGATGTGGTGGTCGCGGATCCATCGTGATTACTCCATGCGTCCTGTGCCGAGGAAGTGGTCAGAGCAAGCAGAGAAAGACGCTAGTGGTACCAGTTCCCGCTGGTAAGCACTGCTTGTCCCTCAACTATCCTTCCTTCCTACCCCACATCTGTGCCATGATCCGCTCTGCCTTCCCCCACTTCCGCAACATCGTCCAGCTCTGCCACTGTCTCACACCACAGCCGCCGAAACCTTCATACATGCTTTCATTACATCGAGGCTTGATTATGCAAACTCATTGCTTGTTGGCCTCCCCAACTCCTCCCTCCATAGGCTGCAGATCGTCCAGATCTCTGCAGCCCGCGTCCTCTCCCTCACTAAGCTGCGTGATCCTATCACCTCCCATCCTCGCCCAACTTCACTGGCTTTCCATCAAACAGTGATACAGTTCAAGATCCTGGTCCTCACCTTCAAGGCTCTCCAATGTCTTGCTCCCCCCTACCTCTGCGACCTCCTAACCCCCTACCATCCTGCTCGCTTCCTCTGCTCAGCAGGCTCCAGCCTGCTTCATGTCCCCCGCCTCGCTCGCCCCACTATTGGTGGGCGGGCCTTCTGCCACTCTGCTGGCCCCTGTGGAACTCCATCCTGCAGATCCTCCGCCTCACCCCCTCCCTTGCCACCTCATCTCAAGCAAACCCATCTCAAGACCCTCCTCTTCGACCGTGCTTTTGATTTCCCTGCTTCCCCCCCCTGCCCTCCACCCTCCCGACTCTCAGCTCAGGTCCGAAACCCTGTCCGTCCAATGCTTTGGGACGTCCTCCCGACGTAAAAGGCACTATACAAATTAACTTCCTTTTTGTTGTTGTCCATCAGGAGCTGAGAGCAAAAGATGATGTGTGGAGGGATGAGGAAGAATGGGATTTGTGGTGGGTTCAGGAGGTGAAATATGTGTTGGGTTTGGAGACTGTAATGTGTGATTGGCTGGAGAGGGTATGTGCAATGGGATGGGGATGAAACTTACAATAGGTCAGTGTTAGCAGTAATGCAGTCAGTATATGCAACTGACTAAGCTATAATCCGTACGGTATGGAATTGAGGGAATGGATTTATATTAGTTCAATCTGATGTTAGTTTGTTTCTACTTGTTATCTCCACTTCTCTGAATTGGGATGACAATTTGAGACTGCCTCTGGTATCTGGATATTGGTTCTTATCATGTAATCACAGCTTTTCCTGGCTTTCACAGTCAGTGGGGAACCCAGTCTGATTTGCCACCAGATATTGGCGAGTTTACCTGCAGAAGTGTTTGTTCTGGGGCCACAGTTGTGCTGGAGGTAACTGTGCTCGCCATTGTGAGCTCTCAGTCTACACTTATAATGTTTTGCAGGTGTGGAGGACGGACAGACCGTGCGGATGCCAGTGGGAAAGAAAGAGATCTTCATTACCTTTAGGGTAAGTGATTGTCTGAGGCGAGGCTGAGTCCTGCAGGATTATAATAATAATAATAATCCTAGCATTTGATATAGCGCTTTTCACATCTTCTAGATGTGATTAGCTAACTCAGTACATACCAGGGAGGGAACTTGGGACCATTTGGTCTGTGTGATGACTCGGTGCTACATTTAATTGATCCCTCGAACCACTAGACGATCAGAAAGCATTGTGACTTTTGAATTTTTTGTCTAGAGTTTGTTTAATTGCTTTGAATTTTTCTCAAATTATTAGGTTCAAAAGAGTACAACATTCCGACGAGAAGGAGCTGACATCCACTCAAACCTGTTCATCTCTGTTGCCCAGGCAGTGCTGGGAGGCACAGCACGCACCCAGGGGCTGCACGACACCATCAACATCACGGTGAGTAACATCACTGAGCTGCAAACTCGGAGCTGAAAGAACCATTGAGCCAGCCTCGTGAACCTTTATGTTCGCCATCTCTCACGCTGGCTATACAATATACACAGTATATCCAGTGAAGTGCTTTGAGATGCCTCGATCACATTATAAAGCGCTGTATCAAACGCTGGGATTATTATTATCAATGTTTTCTGTTTTCAGATTCCGCAAGGAATTCAGATGGATCAGAAGATTCGGCTTAGTGGTAAGGGTATTCCAAAGGTCAACAGCTATGGTTACGGGGATCACTATATCCACATCAAAGTGAAAATCCCAAAGTAAGTATTCATAGGTGGGAAAGGGGAGGTGGGGGGGAGTGAAAGTATAACCATACTACTTCCAGGGCTCCAATGTGACTGAGATATTGGGCAGCCCCAGTTTGAATGTTACCGTGAGCAGCCATTGCTCCACTTACCAAATAGTTGTCTGGAGGGTCATCATATCTGAAGATAAGTGTCAGCTTGGTTGTAAGTAGCGTCCAGGCTTCTGGGATAGAATCTTTGTGGAGTCAAAGCTCACAGAGATGCCATCCTTTGAAAAAGATATTAACCTCCTACCTGTTAAAGATTCCATGGCACTGGAAAGCCCTTATTCCTGATTACAAACATTAGGTGTTTTTAGTGTCAATTGGTCGGGTATAATGTCGCTGCACTGATCTGTTCACCTATACAGTAACTGGTACTTTTCTCCTTTATGTGCTTGGCAGGCAGTTGAGTGACCGACAGAGAACATTGATGTTGGCTTATGCTGAAGATGAAGGTGAAGTAGAAGGCACTGTAAATGGAGTCACTAACACAACTACAGGTGAGAAGTGTTTTGGAAACCTTATCTAGTGGCAGGGGATTTCTAGTGCTTCACTGCACAGACATGCAGTGTGTGCAAAGGGTCAAGTGCTGACCTTTACTGTTCCAGTTTAGAGTTCCTGTTATAAGTCTGATACTTTACAGTGGATATGGTCATTATCATGTATAAACAGTTTCCCATAACATCTTTTGAGTGCTTCACAAGATATTTACATCCACAAACCATAGTTGAGACACAGTTCTTTGAAAATATAATTAAATAGATTCTTGAAGACAAGGAATATTAAAGTGTATGGGGACTGAGCAGGAGTATAGGATTAGACTTGGTAGCTCAAGTGGATAAAAATACCAACACAGACTTTAATGGGCCAAAGTTCTGTGATTTCTAGGGGTGTCTGTTCTGTTTTGTTCCTTCTTTTCTGAACTTGAGTTTTGACTGTTTGTATCTAGGCACTAATGCCAGGGCGAATACTGGGATGGGGGAAAAGGGGCCTGAGAAGCCTGAGGCTGAGCCAGGGGAAAACAAGGAGGGATTTCTTACCAAATTAAAGCGAATGTTTAGCTGACAAGAGGTAGGAAACCTCTTTTTGTTTTTCCCTTTATCATTGTACCTTTACACTACTGTTCAATACTCAGTCCAGCACAAAGTGTACCCTGCTATTCAGCCTCCCAGCTGATGGCAAGAAATGAATGAAGCATTGATGTTAAGAGTATAATGTTATGCTAATGGCAACCATGCAGTTCAATACTTGTCCTGCAACGAGTGCTTGACTTGTCAGCACTACAGCTTGCAGGGATGAACATGTCTGCACTTCCAAGATGAGCCAAACAGGTAGCAATGCCTTGGACATTATAGACATGATGGCTTTGCTTGCATCTCCTCAGCCAGTTCCAAACCCCTTCCCAGAAAGGATATAATTTCAAACTGAACGGACAGGGCTTTGGGGGAATTTTCAGTGTAATTTTTAGTGAGGTAAATTCTCCACCGTTGCATCTCTGATATACATCAATTTCAGATTGGGAAATGCTAGAGTTCTGATTAAGGGATGTACCTGTAATATTGAGCTATCTCTATTAATACTGATAGGCCGTGTTTCACCAGTGTTCTCTGTTTTTGTGTAATCTTTTCGAACCCCACCCCCCCATTTTCTCTCATCTCACCTTCCACTATGGGAGCTTGACCGGCTTATCCAGCCCTGAGCTGTCACCTCTCTGGAGTGTTGTAGTACTGAGCGACAAGTTATGTTTCTTCTCAGTCAAGCTCCCTCTCATCTCTAGTAACAAACATGTCTGGTCTTCCTGGTCAGTAATCTAAAGGAAGAGTTTACTGTGTCCGACCTCTTCAAGGTCATGTGCTGAATAACTGAGGCTGGATTCTTGCCAATGGATTTGTATATGGATACTTTAGTTAGTTTAAAGCCACTGCATTGAAACTTACAAAGCAATCATTACATCTTTTTTTTCTTTTGATGATTCTTAATTCATGTCTTGAATTCACTGATCAGTGGATTTTTTTAATTATTTACTCTTGTCAAAACAATTTATAATTTTACAACTGCTTATATGAAAAAAATCATGTTTCTCTGCTATTCTTGTTTTCTAGGAAAGCGAAGGAGTGGAAACTAGCTCCCACATCAGATCTACAAATTCCACGCTGCCTGAGGATATGTTCACCCCCTGACTAGCCAATACACTGATGGAACCCCGTCATCCTGTACCCAGAACAAGACCCCAGAGACTTGGCTGTTATTTCCCGATAAGGCCTGTTTTTTGTTGTTTTGGTTCTGTACATTGTGGTCAATAGCAGTGTAAATTCAGTGACAGATGCACTATGTAATCCATTCTTGCACAATGAAGACTTATTTTAATTCTGTTTCTGGCAAAATAAACTGATTGTAGCTCTACGACCTGGAATGGTCAGTGCAAGCTCCAGGTTAGAGCCCATCGTGATGTTTGCAAAGCAAACTGATGGGTTCAACGTGATTAGGTTTTGTTTTAGGTTCCTCGGAGTACCAAGGGTTGCTAATTAACTCTGGCTGTGCAGAGTGGGTGCAGCCTGTAGCCGGGGAATGTGTCGCTCTTTGATAGTGAGCTGAGGATCCCAGATTGCTTGGGTTGGCCAGAGAGACCCTGGCCAACAATGAGAAATAAACTTATTTGAACCTGACTGACGAGTGTGGCTTTAAGGAATAGTCGCTTCCAGTTGTGGTCTCACTGGGGGTGTGTTTAGTAATCACTAAAAACTTGCCCAGTCCTCTCCCCTCCGTTCACAAGAAATTGGGGTCTGCTTCCATCCACTCACCTGTTACAGGCACCACCAAACCTTCCCACAGGGACCAGACTGGATAGATTTGAGTGACAGGATTTATCTCGTGGGAAGTTATGGAAATTTTCAATTTCTTCTCTTGCCCCCAACCCCGAAAAACTATGTAGACAATCTACCATTCTATTTTACTGCAATAAAACAGGGAGTGAAATGCTAAACTAGAGCATGTTTATTTTTTAGAAATTGTTTGACAATTCCTGAACCCTTGCATTTCCCCACCTATCACCTTGGTTCATAACTCAGAAATGCTGTAAAAGAGCTGAAGGGAAGCCAGTGTTGGACACCCACAGGCAAAGTTGTATTTAGTCCAGCCAGTAAGCAGATGGGTATCCCATGGGTTGGTACAAATTGCATCCAGTTAAAAGAATTCACAGACCATTTCACGAATGATTTGTGACAGAAAATTCCCAGTGTTTGGTAGAGGTTTATTATAAAAAGGGATTAGGCATAAGTTAGAAATCAATAAGTCGCTAATGTGAAGCACTTATGGAGAATAGAGTGTGTGTGTTTGTGGGTGGGGGGGGGAAAGGAAGAACACGGTCACAGAGTATTTAGCTTTTGGAGGTATTTTCTTGTTTTACAAATTACACAATAGATAGGATACAGTCATCTCCATAGTTGTATTAGTAACTGGACTAGTAACTGCCCATACTCCAGGCCTCAAATTGTTAGGTTATTGACATATTACAGTATAAAGCATCTGATAAAATCCAATTTAGAAACCTTAATCCTTTCAAAGACACAGTGGGAGGGCAGCAGTTGCCAGCTGTTGTCCTGCATACAACTGCTGTTTTAACCATTTGATGTATTCACTTAAACATTAACATGTGAGAGCAGCACAAATCCAGGCATGAGGCAGAGGCTTTTTAAAATCACTTTAATTGTAGGTTGTTTGAAAACACAAAATAGTGCAAGTCCAGAGAACAGCATTGAAGGCATGTCCCAATGAGATGTAGCCATTGCTTCCTCACAGATGAAGTCTCTCTCTCATGTAAAGTGAGGATGGGCGGTTCGATTAGTACATACGTGAATGCTAGTTGGGAGGAGCTTCTCTAATCAGCTGTCTCCTGCAGAACAGCCTGTGCACTGTCTCTGAGAATTATAGTTAACATGCATCAGAGACTCCATTCAGGAGCCAAGGAGAAGCAGTGCAAGTTAGATAGCCATGCCCATATCAGCAAGAAAAGAGGGGTCTCCCTCACACTAAATAGAATTGTCCTGTGTGCTTACATGAATGGAAACCAGCCTGTAACCAAGTGTCGAACTCCCCGGGTATATTGCTGATTACGTGAATGGCATTGGAACCCGTTTATTAACTACAGTCTAACCTATCTTCAACAACCATTCAGGAGACTGGGCCAAAGTGGCCTTTATATAAGGGTGGCCTCTGAGTAAGGGTTTGTTAGCGTGCTAACTGGACTGTCCAGGGTGGTTCTTAACGGGGTGGTTGCTGAATGGAGGTGGTTGCTTGAACAGGTTCGACTGTATTATATGCATGTAGAGTCGTGCTGTGCCCCTCCCAATCACCTTTCATTGAATTAACTATTAAGTTGAAATCAAGTGTATTCAGGAATTCCTGATCTTAAAAATAACCGGCAGAAGCTTATGGCAGATAAGGTGCACTGCTACAAACTAAACAATCATTAGAAGTTGCCTGAATTAAACATGAGCAAGTGGCCAACTCAGCTACAGTATGTAGATTAAAATACTTGGAATCTATGACTGAGTGACTGAGCTTGAATCCAGCTACAACATACACGTCAACTGCATAAAAGATTACTGGTCAGAGAGTAATACTGCATTGAGATTTAGGATTCCTCATTCTTTCTCTTCTCTCTACCCCCCCACCCCCGGCCAGAGCATATGGGCTTCCCATAACTAAGTATATCACCCTGCTGAAAAACCTCATTGCAAATTACCTTTCAAACGCAAACTGACCTTGAGCCTTGCTGGACAATAGCTCTTGGTGACAGACGCAGCTCAATACATACAGGACACCACCAGCATTCCATTACTGAATAAAATACTGATGTTCATATGATAATAATAAATAATAATTCTTACATTTGGTATAGCGCCTTTCACATTGGATGGACATCTCAAAAGCAACATCTCAAAAACTTCACCGCATATACCTGTAAGAGCATCAATGACTATACTCTACAGTATACATCGAAGCACTTTGTGTAAATTAACTTAAAAACAGCAATGGAATGTCATCGGTCTCATGAATGTATGTTCTCTTAAGCAATCTTGTTCTCAATTCAACAACAACAAAAACTTGCACTTATACAGCGCTCTCCATGCAGGGTAGTGTCTCAGAGTGCTTAACAGTGGTGGGGCCTGACTCCGAGCCGGGGGGAGGTGGCCATAAGCACGGTGGAGGAGGAAAGTTTTCAAGCGGGACTGTTCACCAGAAGTATGCGATGTGAACACAACTGGCATCGTCCACCCAAAAAGCAGTCACAGACACACAGAGCATGCCAATCCTGAGCATCTGCAATCACATACAGCCCATGGTGGCTGGTTTCTGTTTCTAAGGCTGAATCAACCATGACTCATATTGTCAGAAAACCAATACAGTTAAACCCACAACACAATCACCTCAGCAGCCACCCGCCCAAATGAACATTGCAGCACGTACAGGAGAATTAATGGGGCTCCTACAGAACAACTTTGCCCTGTGCACGACAGCTAAAAGTCAGTATCTTTCACACAGCTACGATCACATTTTTTTAAAAAAAGTGTTCAGTTATTTTTCTAAAATTTCTCCCAATTATCATATGCCTCTTCTGATCCCCAGCCTCCTCATCTTGGGTTGTTTTTCCACAGGTTCTGGTTGCCTCTGGTAATCTGTCCATTTGAGCTTTGACAGTGAGTTGCAGAAGGCATCATGGCTGAGCCCATCTCAACCAACTGCAACCCTCAGACTACCAGTAGAGGGTGCTGCAGAAGCTCGCTCGGTTTCCCCTCTCTGACCTTGGAAAGGGCAGGAATAATTTAGTCTGGAGACTGTGGCCGAGTGACTAGCAAATTTAACGTGATCTGGAATTCGAACCAGTGAGCTTCCTGATCTGTAAGCTGCAGCTCTATCCACATCACCATCAGGGCTGCCCTGCTCACATCTTAGACTTATTGGGGGAGATGAGGACAGACGGAAAGCCTAACCGGGGGTGGTGGTGGTGGTAGAAAGAAACATTAAGCCTGGTCCTAGGGGGATAGACTAGACCTGGTCTTGGGGGATGGACGAGGCCTGGCACTAGGGGACGGACTAGGCCTGCCCTGGGGGATGGACTAGACCTGCCCTGGGGTACGACTAGGCCTGGCCCTGAGGATGGAGGACAGACCTGGACCTGAGGGAAGGACCAGATTCCGTACATAGCTATCCGGCTCCCGGAGGCGAGAATCTCATAGGGAATTGACTATTCCCATTTTTTTCTATAGAAAGTTTGCTACATTGGGAATAGTCACTCTCCTTTCTGTGCTTACCTGTACTCTTACACACTGCTCCAATGCAGTTGGTTTAATAATGTCTCGAGCGCAGGAACGCAACATTCACACGAGAACATACAGATGGGATGCTTCCCTGTCTGCTGGATGAACTAGCACAATCCAAGTCGTCTGTGGGTGGTGGGGGCTTGTAGGGCTCTCCAAGTCCTGTCCTCATCTCTACGCTGCACAGTTCACAACATTAAATAGGTGGCAGCAATCAGTGCCACCACAATCGCCAGCACAAGCTGGAAAGAAGAGCTTTTCAGCAACGATACCACCGTCCGATATGGGCATTCAGATGATTCCACATTCCCTGGAAATAAACAACAGTCAATCCTCAATAGGCATCGTGCAGCTTGTTTACCTCCACCCTAATCCTCCTGAGGAAAAAAGGACATGTTTTTCTACCACCTTATCACTTCAAAACACCTGAAGTCGCTTAACAGTAATGAATACTCTTGTGGAGTGACTGTTTTTGTAAAAAAAAAAGCATGGCAGTCAATTTGCACATAGCCATAACGTGAATGGCCACTTTATCGGGACAGTTTTGGGGAGAAACTCCTTTTGTCACAAATAATATCATGAGATCTTATCGTCCACCTGAACAGATAGGACCTTGGTTTAACATCTCGTACAAAAGACGGCATCTCAGGCAATGCATCGCACCACCAGGTCTGCATTGGACTGTGAGCTCAAGTCCTGATGTGGCACTGAAGGAAGGGGCGGAGATGAGGGTAAGGGACTAGTCAGCACACCTCCACTGCAGACTGGCAGCTTACCTTTAGCAGTATAGAACGGGCACATGCGGGGATTCCCCTTTCCATCATGCATCAGATGTCCACCCTCCGGCGCCTTTGGCAACAATTTCCCGATTTGGTCCAATTCCTCAAAAACCTGCAGAGGGGAGAGGGAGAAAGGTTCGACAGGTCACCTAATGGCCATGTAGCATGGGAGCCTTGTGGCTCAATGCATCAAGTGTAGAAATAATAATAATCCTTGTATTTGACATAGCACCTTATCACTTTGTTGAGAAATCTCAAAGTGGCACCTCACAAGATATACTGTCAAGTGGAGTGACTTTGTATTAAATCTTACATGATCACAAGTTACATGGTTAGATTTAATCTTTAGTGTCTCTCTCACACACACACATACACACACAGAGTAAAGAGATCCACAGGTCACACTCTAGACCACAAGCAGACACTTTTATTCCATGCCGAATGCCTCAGGAACACTGACCTGCATGTTGAACTCAAAAGCTCTGTTGGCCTCCTCCACAACCCTCTCCTTGTTCCTTCTATCTAGCTCTAGGCTGTTCAGACGAGCCCTGTACAGCTGCTTGAACTGAGTGGGATTCGAAATGTTGTCGAAGATGTAGAATTGGACGCCCTCGCCGGTGCTGGGGAAGTGCAGTGCCCTCTGGGCCACTTTCTTCAGCACCTGTCCCCCAGACAGGTCACCCATATAGCGGGTGTAGGCATGAGCCACTAGGAGCTCAGGCTCAAACTCACCCACATAGTGGATCCGCTCCACATATGCTGTGGTTGCGTCCGAGCTTTGAATCTCATTCTTCCAGTCTGGCCCAAAAAAATATTCCAGGTCCCTCTCCAGAGGCTCCCTGCGATGTAGCTCAACCGGAAAATAGAGGGGAGCGATGCCAGGATGGTTCCGGTTTTTCTCAATTTCCTCCTCCAGGGCAGAATAAGTGAAGTACAGAGCCGCAGTGCCCAGCTGCAAGAGGAGGAAGAATATAGGAGCCAACCTGTGCATTTGAACCAACATTTCCTCCAGCACAATAAACTGCTGGGGTTAACCACCCACCTCCCCCAGACCCACCCGTTCCATGTGGAAATTGAGCATAGAATTTTAATCAGTGATTGAAATTCAGATTATTCCAGTGCAGCTCACCTTGAACAACTCCAGGTGTATCTTTCCTTTCAGGAAGTCCTTCACAAACTGGGTATTCTCTGCACGATCATGTGCTTCCTTTGTTCCTTCCTTTAGGATCTCAGAAAGATCAGTGGGACTGTAAGAAAGCAGAAGGGAACGGATTAGAAGCCTTGTAACACTTGGCCAAAAGCTCAGTACAGAAAGAGTAAGACACAGGATCAGGAGAGGGGAAGAGAGCAAGTGTACATGAACCTTTAAAGGGCACAAACACGGAAGAATGGCGAAGGTGGAGTAAAGCCGCGGTCATGTCAAAGACAGTCGAGAAATTGGAAGTGCCGTTGATTTCCAAAAACAAACAGCACAAACCTGGTGAAATCCACATCCATTCCAATATCTTCCACCTCACTGAGTGCTTTCCCTTCAGTCACAAGCATCACTCAGCAGCTGGAACGTTGTGACTCAACACACAAACTGACCAGCAGCATGAATCGCAAGCAGGGTAGCAGCAACAACTCCAGGTAAGACCAGGCTCCTGTAACAAAGTTTGAGATACCATTCAACACCCAAACAGAAACCTCCAACAGGGCAGGAGAGATAAACAGCAGTGCAGACTAGGGCAAAGAAATTGTGGGCAGGCAGAGGAGGGGGGAGGGTATCAAAAACGAGAATAATACACAATACAAATCAATTTTAATATTAATATAGCACCATTCACATTGGGAGAATCTGACAAGCCGGGAGTGGGAGTGAGGAGGGTAAAGATAATAATAATAATAATAATAATCCTTGCATTTGATATAGCGCTTTTCACGTCGGGAGGACGTCCCAAAGCGCTTCACAGAACACACTGTAAAGTGAATTGACTGTATATTTGTGGGCGAACGCGGCAGCCAATTGCGCACAGCAATGTCCCACAAACAGTCGTAGATTGAAAATGACCAATTTTAATTATTGTTTTCGGTTTTTTGGAGGGATTATTATTAGGCTCTGTGTGGAGTAAGGAAACTTGCCCAAGGTTTCGCCCTCTGCCTGGAATTGAACTCAGGTCTCTCACTTGCAAAGCGAGTGCTCTAACCACTGAGCTACAGGACTCCACTACAAGATGCCTGAAGCCGGGGTCTTGAGGTGGACCTTGAAAGAGGTAAGGGAGAGCGCGAGGCAGAAGGACTCTAGATGAACTTCCACAGAGTGGGGACACCGAGGCTGAAAGCCCACCCGGCACAAGGGGCAGGGGATATGAAACAGGCGGGTGCCCGATAAGCAAAGGGAATGGCGAGTACGTTTTGAGGATGTAGGGTGGGCAAGACCGCAGAGGGATGTGAAGGCGAGGATGAGGATCTTGAACTCAAATCTGCTAAGGGATGGGGGAGCCAATGGCGATGGGGGAGGATGAGGGCGATAGGCTCACAGAGCCAAGTGCTGGAAAAAATACATAGGGAAGGCAGAGCGAGAGGCAACGGGAAGATATTGGGACCAACGTGGGGGGGGGGGGTGGGGGGGGGGCAGGTCATTGCGAAAATGGGGCTCTCAGTGTAGAAGGGAAGTGAGAGGTTGGATGAGGAACAGGACAAGCGGGAGGGGGGGAGGGGGGGGGGGAGGGGGGGGGGAGGGGGGGAGGGAGGGGGAAGCCCGAGGGGAGAGAGCGAGGCTCAGGGTGAAGGGGTAAGTTACCGGCGGGTTAGGCCGAGGGGAGGGGGTGAGGGGTGAGTGGGGGGCGGCTTAGGTGTTGACCTGACGGTTGGGGGTGAGGGGTCAGGGGGGGGGGGGTGAGAGTGGGGGGGGGGGAGGGGGGGGTCAGGTTACCTGTCAGTGAACCACACTTACTATCGGGTCAGTTCGGGGTCGAGAGCTCGCGCTCACCCGTCAAGTTGATCTCTCGGACGACTTTGCTTTGACTTCCGGGGCCTCGCCTGACGGCGGCGGATGTGACGTCACTGTGCCACTGACGCGACCCCGGCTTGCGCTCCGAGGTTGTCACGGAGACGTGACGTCGCGTGACAACAATCTGAGTCCAGCCTCCCCTCAACCCCCCCCCCCACCCCCCACCACCCCCCACACACACCCCCTCCTCCTCCCCCACTACCCCACCCACCCCACCCCACCCCACCCCGTGCTCCTTCAGCCGCCTCGACGCTCACCCTCACCCCAGCCACCGGGCGCAGGACCAGCCACAGCCCTCAGCCAGAGTCCCGGGCGGCCACCTGCAACCCCTCCCTCCCTCCCTCCCCCCACCACATACACCAGAGCTCCCCCTCCTCCAGAGGCCCCACCCACCACCCCCCACCCACCTTCAACCCTAACCCATTACTAGGCTCCACAAGCCATAGGTCCCACCCCCAAACCAGCCTCCGTTAGCTCCTGAGGTCCTTACCCCTATCCTGGGCACCAAACAATTCACCCCCACCGTGGGCCTTGAACTCTTCTCCCCTGACCCCATGGCCTGACCTTTGCCCCTTCGACCGTGACCTGAGCTCCTCGGCCCGTTTTCCCGACTCGGGACTCCCTCGTTCCCATCACGTATCCCGAGCTCCTCGTCCCCATCCAGGGCACTCAGTTCTTCGTCCCCGTCCCAGGCTCCGAACTCCTTGCCCCTATTCCAGGCTCTGGGCTCCTTGTCCCTATTCTGGGCTCGGAGCTTCTTGTCCCTGTCCCAAGCTCGGAGCTGTTTGTCGCTGTTCCAGACCCTGATCTCCTCCATAATCCAGGTACCAAGCTTCTCCACAATCAGATTCCCATCTACTCTCTAACCCAGGCCACAACCTCCTCTGCAACCCAAGTACCAAGCTCCCCAACTAGGGCTCCAGCTTCTTCTACAACTTGGGCTCAGTTCTACTCCACAGCTCGGGCTCCATCCAACACCAGAACGCAGGCTCCATACAACACTACAACTCGGGCTCCATCCAACACCACAACGCAGGCTCCATACAACACTACAACTCGGGCTCCATACAACACTACAACTCGGGCTCCATACAACACTACAACTCGGGCTTCATTCAACACCACAACTCGGGCTCCATACAACACCACAACTTGGGCTTCATCCAACACCACAACTCGGGCTCCATACAATACCACAACTCGGGCTCCATCCAACACCACAACTCGGGCTCCATACAACACTATAATTCGGGCTCCATCCAACACCACAACTCGGGCTCCATACAACACTATAATTCGGGCTCCATCCAACACCACAACTCGAGCTCCATACAACACCACAACTCGGGCTCCATACAACACCACAACTCGGGCTCCATCCAACACCACAACTCGGGCTCCATCCAACACCACAACTCAGGCTCCATCCAACAGTATAACTCGGGCTCCATCCTTATCCACAAAGCAGGCCCTGACCTCCTGTGCAGCCTGCTCCCCAATCTCTTTTACAAACTGGGACCCATCCTCCTCTGGCACAACCTATGTCCCAATCTTCACCACACCCCATGCCCCGATTTCTAAAATTCAGGCTTCAAGTTCATCTGAAACTCGGGCCCGAACCTCCACTTGTGCAACCTGTGCCCCAACCTCTACCAGCATAACCCAGGTTCCGACCTCCATTTCATCCACAATCAGGGCCCCAACCTCCTCCTCTCCAAATTGGGTCCGCAGCTTCTCCTCCCTCATATGGAACCCGGACTCTCCCTCTTCAACTCCAAGTTCTGCTTCCCTCATCAGGAATTCAAACTGCGCCTCCTCAAGTGTTGCCTCTCTCATCGGGACCCCAACTTTATCCAGGTCCTCAAGCTTGTCCCTTCTCAACTGGAACCCGAGCTCTCCTTCCAAATCTTGGGTTCCCAACTTCTCTTCCCTTCCCTGGACCCCAATCTCTGGCTCTCCAACCCAAGCTCCAAGCACTGCCTCGTCAACCCGGATTCCAACCCCCTGTTCAAACTGGCTTCCAATGAGGCTTTATTGTTCGACATCTTCAACATAGTCACAAACTCTACAACAAAAGGCTATGGACTTCAAGCTCAGGAGAGAGAAGGTGAATAAATCACAAATCAGATTCAAGCATGATGAATAGTATATGGAATCGACTTTCCATGTAGGCACTCCACACCTTAGGCAATGACAGCTTCACCATGCAACGATGAACACTCCACCTCACTAAGCCAGTCTGGAACTTTGGCATCTTGTTTGACCCTCAACTAGCTCTTCTACCCCACATCTGTCCCACTCTGCCTTCCCCCATCTCCGCAACATCGCCCGGCTCCGCCACTCTCACACCACAGGCCACCAAGACCCTCATACACGCATTCATAACATCCAGGCTCGACTCTGCAAACTCCCTGCTTGTCGGCCTCCCCATCTTCTCCCTCCCTAGACTGCAGATCATCCATAACTCTGCAGTCCGTGTCCTCTCTTGCATCAGGCTCCACGACCCCATCACCCCCATCCTCTCCCAACACTACTGACTTCCCATCACACAGAGGATACAATTCAAGATCCTGGTCCTCAACTTCAAAGCCCTCCATGGCTTTGCTCCCCCCTACCTCTCCGACCTCCTAACCCCCTACCAACCTTTCTGCTCCCTCTGTTCAGCAGGCTCCAGCCCGCTTCACGTCCTCCGCTTGCCCACCCCACCATTGACGGATGGGCCTTCTGCCTCTCTGCCCCCATCCGCTGGAACTGCATCCCACAGTCCCTCCGCCTCGCTCCCTCCCTTGCCTCCTTCAAGACTGGTCTCAAGTCCCTTCTCTTCGACCGTGCCTTCGGACACCCTCCTTTCCCCCCTGCTCTGCAAACTCCCCGACCTCCAGCTCAGGTCTGAAACACTGATTGTCCTGAGCTTTGGGATATCCACCCGACGTGAGAGATGCAATATAAATATAATTTTGTTGTTGTTGTTGGAGTCATATTGTGTCAGCAAACTCAAGAGGGAATTAGATTGGTACTTCACAAAGAAATAAATTAAGCAGTACAAGAGATCACATGGTGTATCGTTTTGGACAATGTGTTACTAACAATTGTACAACGTAACTATTTCTATATAGCTCAACAGAAATAACCATACCTTGAATAATGCTCAGAGATGGTTTGTTATAGTTGTGTTTAGTCAACCTGTCAAGGACATGATTCTTATTTATTTGATTTCGGAGAATGTTTGCCAATTCCAGGACATCACCCCTTAGTGGAGGCACATGCGGGAGTCAGCCTGTATCAGATGGTAGCTGTCTTAACTGTCAATGAAGAAGGTTGGTGGGTTCAAGCCACAGTCTAGGTTGACGCTCCAGTACAACATTGTTGAAAATGCTGTCCTTCAGATGAAATATTAAACAATAATGGGGTAGTTATCAAGACTTTTTGGTCACCCTGTATAACTAACTAATTTCTGAATCTCAGTGTTGCCCTTGCTGCTCATTCTGAATATTTCTTCAGGTAGAGTTAAGATAAGAAATATTCAGCATAAAAGGAGGACATTTATTCCATCGTATTGTTGCCATTGCTACCCATTTTTCTAAATTGCCCTTTTTTATCAATTCCACTTTTCAGCTATTTCTCCATGTGCCTTAATATTTTATTACTCAGAAGCTTATTAAACAACAACAACTTGCACTTGTATCGTGGAGTCCTGTAGCTCAGTGGTTAGAGCACTCGCCTTGCAAGCGAGACACCTGGGTTCAATTCCAGGCAGAGGGCGAAACCTTGGGCAAGTTTCCTTACTCCACACACCTAATAATAATCCCTCCAAAACCCAAAACAATAATAAATTGGTCATTTTCAACCTATGACTGTTTGTAGGACACTACTGTGCGCGATTGGCTGCCGGTTTCACCCACAAATATACAGTCAATTCACTTTACAGCTGTGAAGCGCTTTGAGACATCGAGAAGATGTGAAAAGTGCTATATCAAATGCAAGAATTATGATTATTATTATAGCGCCCTCCATGAAGGGTAGCGTCTCAGAGCGCTTATTCCATCTCAAATGAAAAATGTTTGTTCTGCTGTCCTCGGCAACATTCCTTCAGATATACTGGCTATCTACTTTAAAGCTGATTGTGAGGCTTCGTTGTGCATTACACTACACTTGACAAGCATTTTGAAATTGTACACCATAAAAATGAAAGTGCTTTCTTGCATTATCTTGAACTAAACAAACATTCACTTATGAATGTGACTCTCGTTGTCTTCCTCTATCCTCAGACAGGTTTAGACATCATATTCCTCTTCCAAGAGAAGATTGAAGTACCTCTAGCAAGAAAATCGTTGATCCACAATGGCAAGAACTCAGGTGAAGATTTTTTATTATTATGATTATTTATTTTGTGATTTTTAAACTTTGTCTCATTGGAACCGAATAGTTCTAAAGGATAGGGAGGTCCTAGTTGGACAAGCAATGTGGAGCATGACAGACAGTCTTCTCAATGGCAATCTATGTGTGTTTTTTTCTCTGATTTTTTAAAAAAACAACAGCTCTATGTATCCCAACACAATGTGGAGTGCCGCTGGGGTCACCAAGCCTTGGTGAGAGCCAAGGACCAAATACCTCTCTGGACTTAGCTAAGCAGAGTGAGTGCATATCTCCAGGGAGAGAGTGCACATTCAGGGAAATTTCCATGTGTGAGTCAGGTGGCAGAGGTTTGAGCCTGGTGTTTTTGAGCCGGTTGGTTGTTTTTTGGTCCACAGCCTTACGTTCCAGTGTCTAACATCCATCATCGTACCTCTCCAAGTTGCACGTCAAAGGTCCCTCGGTTTAATATTGTCGCACCGATACGATGTGGACCTATTCGAGGTGCACACCGAACAGCCCCGGGTTTGATACACAGCACTGTGCGGCAGAGCTCAGGGAGATGACACCTCTCTCAGAGACATCCCCGAGGGAGGTGTTGCGTAAGTGCTCTCTCGGTGAAAACAGAGGAAATGATGTGCAAACGATGGTAAACCCAAGTGACTGGGTGTTGGCTGTAGCTCATGGCTCCCCCCCGGGCTGTGGGCTGTGGGCTGTGGGCTGTTCCCCAGCGGGTCTCTGGGGTTGGGGTTGGGGTTGGTTTGTACCCCAGTGAGAGGCTCAGGGCTGATGGCAACACATTGGATGCCCATCTCCGCGCTGCGCCGCTCTCTCCTAAACTTTACTGCCCCGAAACTTCTGCCCAAATAACTGCCGGCGTTAGCGTTTCCGGGTCCTTCTCTCGGCGGCAGCTGTTGGGGGGTGTGGTTTGAGTACAAATCCGCCCTCACACACCCCCACTCCCCACACACACCCCCACCTCCCCCCCCCCCCCCCCACACACACACCCCCCACAGCCTATCCGCTTTGCCCGAGGTCGGGATGATCGGAACCGGCTTTACCGGCTGTCACTGAGCCCGACACAGCAATCGGTGTCAGAGGAGAGCGACTGCAGAAGCACCCGGCGAGACAGACACACAGACAGACACACACAGACACAGACAGACGGACCCCTCGCAGTAATTCATCACCACCACCACCACCATCACCATCAGCAGCCAAATAAGATGTGTCCGCGGCTCTGACAGTCGGCTCCAGGCTCTGCAAACCAGGATTAACGTCGGGGGTGGGGGGGGGGGGGGACACCGGACAAGGAGAGGAGCGATCGGATCCCACCAGCAGTAGTCCCTCAGCCATCCAGACCCCCCCCCCCCCCCCACCACCACCACCCCCCACCCTCACCCCCTCAAGGGGTCCGGCGCTGACAGCTCATCCCAACTGTGCTCATCCCAACCGCGAGGTCCAAACAGCTGCAGGAATCGTGTCGGCACTGGTGAGAGACAGAGAGAGAAAGAGAAAGAGAGAGAGTGATCCTCTTCTTCTTCTTCTTCTTCTTCTTCTTGTTCTTTTTCTTCTTCTTTTTTTTTTAAATAGCATTTCGATGGCACTTTTCAGTCCGGGAATATTCGAGAGATGCAGGCGCGCCAATCTGGACGCGTCCCGGCTTTCAGTGCGAAATATTTCTGGGGCGGGAAAAAAAAACAATCGGAGAGTCACGCAGTTCCCAAGAAGATTAAAGTAATCCTTATCCTTGCGTTTGATGCACGGTGGCGTCGGAGCACTTCGTTAAAATATCTCTCACGGGGCTGCACAGGATTAGCAGCTGAGGTTGGCTGGGAACACTCAGCAGGTCAGGCAGCATCTATGGAGAAAGGAGAGTGAGTCAATAATAATAATAATAATGATAATAATAATGATAATAATCCTTGCATTTGATATAGCGCTTTTCACGTCGGGAGGACGTCCCAAAGCGCTTCACAGAACGCACTGTAAAGTTGAATTGACTGTATTTTTTGTGGGCGAACGCGGCAGCCAATTGCGCACAGCGACGTCCCACAAACAGTCGTAGATTGAAAATGACCAATTTATTATTGTCAAGGTCAACGTTTCAGGTCCACGACCCTTCGGGTCCACGAGTTCTGACGAAGGGTCGTGGACCCGAAACGTTGACTCACTTTCCTTTCACCATAGCTGCTTTCTGACCCGCCGAGTGTTCCGTTCCCAGCGACTTCTGTTTTTGTTTCAGATTTGCAGCATCTGCAGTATTTTGCGTTTTGTTTTAACAACTAAGCGTAGTAGTATCGTAACTGTAGGCGAAAGGTGGAGATAAATTTGCACACCACGATGCCCCTAAAACAACCATTCAGTGAATAACATTTTTTTCTGGTGGATTCTTGGCCAGTATAAGGTGGGAACAATTCCCTTCTGTGTTTGAGAAGCTCTTTTAACTGCCCAACTACATATATAGCACCTCAGTTTATCATTGCATCTGAAGGAAGGCTTCCCCCCAACACTGCAAACTCAACCTAGGCTTTGAGTTTGAAGTCCCAATGTGGGGCTTGAACTCACAACCTTCTGACTATGCTACACATCCTTGTCCCACATAACTGTACCATTCCTCTTCTTTGAATCCTCTCTGTGTTAAAACCTAACCTCATCTCATTGCTCTCATAGTAACTCATTCATTTTCCAGACTTCAGGAAAATGGAACTCCTTTCTGGTCTCAGGTTTTTTTTTCCCCTACTACATTGAACAGCTAATTCTTAGTGCTCTGGGATGCTACCCCGCGTGAGGGGTGCTAAGTAAATGCAAGTTGTTGTTGTAAAACGCTAAGCATGACATCCCCCAACAATTGTTTCCTGATTTCACCCCGTACCTGAGGCCCTTCACCTGGCTCTTCTCCAAGATTTTGAGGTGACAGGTCAGGAATTCTGCTCCTGGTCACTATTTAGGGACTCTTGACTGAGGGTGTGTAAATGTTGGTTGAGGACAGTATTGTGTTCAGCTATGAAACTGTGCCCATTTGAATAACCTTCCAACACTTACCCAGAAAAGTAGCCACTAGTGCCTACCCCAGAAAAAGTCAGCACATTCTGGAGAAGAAAAGCAGAGAGAAAAATGGTAAAATAAATTTACCAAATATCGTTCAATAAAGATAATACCCTTTAATCATACTGTGCATGTATAAATAGTCACTGCAGGCAGCCAACAGAAATAATTTAGTCTGCAATCTCGCATTGTTGATTTGAGATAACACCACACAGTGAACTGAAACATGCAGTAATTTCCTTACAGCGAGCACTCTGCTAGTCCCTGTTACAGAGCTGGCCACTGTTACTCTCCACTCTTCATGCCTATTACAGGTCCGCTAAATTACAATGGTGCTGGTTATGAAGCAAGAGACAGTAATCTGATCAGGCAGAAACCCCGATTAAGGTTTCTGTAGTACGGCAGTGAAGCAGCTAACGTCTGCAGTCAGATTTTCCTTTTTAGGATCAGCTAGCTACCAACATCAGACCAATGCTGGCTCTGCATTTAGTAGTTGAATAGGAAAGCTGGGATAAACTGTGCATCCCTCATTGCAATACGCAGTGGGAAGATTGGAATAAAATGTATTTCCAGGCCTGGACATAAGTCTGGTCTCACTGAAGATTGGCTCTCTTCACATTTTGTTCTACAGCTGAGATGGTTAAAGGGTGACCTGATAGAGATGTTCAAGATTATGACCAGTTGTGATAGAGTAAATAATAATAGATTATTTCCACTGGCTGGAGTCAACGATAGGTTAAAAATGTAAAGTAATCACAAATAGAATTAAAGGTGTATTAAATCAGAGGATAGTTGGAATTTAGAACTCTCTATCACAAACCATTGAAGCAGAATCCATAATTTGTTTCAAAAAGGAATTGCAGTAAATAGTTGTTTGAAAATGAGGAAAATTAAAAACAATAATAATAATAATGTTTGCATTCGATATAGCACCTTTCCTATCTGAGGATGTCTGAAAGCACTTCAGAATTTAACATAAATTGTAGTGACTTTGTATTTTTGTAGACCAACACAGCAGCCAATTTGCGCATATCAATGCCCCACAAACAGCCATGATATGTATGTGGAGTGAGCAGGAGAGTGGGATTAGACTATGTGTCTCCACATGCCAGCACAGATTTCAAGGGCCAATGGCTCGTTTAGGTGCTGTTATATGATGAACCCTATGCTTTTGTAAATGGATTAAGTTATGATTAAGTCTAAGATGTGCCTGGAGCATCAGCCTCTGAATTTAAAGTGTAAGTGAGACATTCAGTTGCACCTTGGTAGATAACAAGGAAGGGTTTTTATTATTGAAACTAAAGTAAGATTCTCATTTGCTTTGACAAATAAGAATTAATTCAAGCATGTTCATACACTTATCCTTGCAGGCTCTCTATGTGACAAAAAACAGATAAAATCAATTGCGTATTATGAGGCTTAATGGTCTGACAAAAAGATAATTTATATTGGTAACTCTAAATGCTAGTGAGTACTATATTGGTCAGACTTTGTGTTATCACCTATTCCTATTATGTTCTTACTCTAGGGACACTAAATCTCAGGGGTGCCACAGAGCCTATTGGGAAGAGATTGTATAAGTGGAACGTCTACATTAGATTGTCACATATTTACAGAATGCGAGAAGGGATAAGTCGTGAGACGAAAACTGAATGATTTGGGGGGTGGGGAGTGGTAGGAGGAAATTGGCCAAGTCAAAAGCTGCTGGCATTCCCAATGCAAGTAGCTGTTGATGATAGGACTGGTTATTATAAAGTGACACGTCCTTGCTGTAACCTGATCGACCCACAAATGAGTCACCATATTGGCCACAAAGGCAGAATGAATTGGGATGTTTAAAGTCAAGATGGGTAGATACCTTGGAAGGTAAGAATTAAAGAATATGAAGAAAAGGCCAGGAAATGGAACTAAGAAATCTGCAATGACCTAGTAAAACAGTAGAACAGGGTAAATTGACATATTGAACCCAACTAATGATAATAAAACTCAGTATTTGGGATTAATAAATTCAATAGGATGCAGTGAGTGGGATGGATCAACATGGCATCAGTAGGTGTTTGGGATCTGGTTATAAAAAGCTAACCAGGTGCTAATAATGGGAAGGTTTAGCCAGTGAAGTGACCCATTCCACTAATGTGGGCAGACAATATATGCCTATGCTGGTTGATCAATACACAAATCAGCCAAGTGCAGTATGACATTGGGACCAGCTAGAATGGACTTTAATAGTCTTAACTTGTCCTGGACTTTTCTATGTGCCTACTATATTGTTGTCTGAGGCTGCCTTTGAGAATGCATTGCTGGAATAATAAACATGTAGCTCACCAGATTGGAATGTATATTTGCTTGGACAAGGCCAAGCCAGATGTTGAAACACCTGCATCCAGCGTGGTGGAACACGATTTTTCCCACTAATTGCCGGATTATTTGATCTAAGTGTGTTGAAATTGGGTGTTCATGCTAAGTAAGCTTATGGCATTATTAGTTCTGCTGGCAGCAGTTAATTGAAAACTATACATTGGTTGCCTGGAGGGACTACATCACGAATCTGTGAGAGACAATTTCAGCGAACGATATCATAACACTTGCAATCTAACGATTGATAAAAAAACTATCTGCATCTTACAAGTATCTTCTTTCTTAAAAACGAAGCATTCAGACTCCTTTAAACATGAATACATTTTGAGAGAATTATTATCTGCCATAAACAATGCTCGGCATGTTTTTCCAAAGCGTGTTGTAACGTGATATGTAGTGAGTGTCTAGGAGGCACGTTACAGAACTCGTGCATTTGCCTTGGAGGTTCAGCTAAGCCCAAAGGAGAAGCAGTGGTGAGTTTCTCTCCTGCATCAAGCCATCTCACAAGTAGGTTGAGCACCTGTATGTTGTGCAGTACAGGAGCCCGAACAATGACACGATGCAGCAACAGCACTGATATATGTAGAGCAAATCAGTCATAGTAAAGTAGGACACAGATGAGGGATGTAGGGAAATGTTTCCAGATATAGATTGCTTGGGAAAGCAGGAGGTGAGGGAGGGAGTTACACAGTGTTTTTTGGTAAAGCAAACACAGAGATGAAACCCTGAAAGGCCAAATCCTTGGGGAAAAGGTGAAAATTGTGCCTAATTTCATTGGAACAGAGAAGAATGAGGAGATTTCGATAGAGTTAATAGGAAGATGTCCACTGGACAATGAGTAAGTGATCACAAGACATTAATTTAAGGAGTTAGGAAGGTTAGCAATAGGGGAAATAAGAAGGAGCTTTGATACACAGAGAGTTGTTAGGATGCGGAATGCCCTGTTGGTTGCGGTGGTTAAAGCAGGATCTACGTTAGCTTTCAAGAGGGCAGTAGATAAATGTAACACTGCCTCCTTGCACTTGTATGCAATGTCCAATATACTAAACATAGAATCTTGTTTGGTTTAAAGTTTAGGGAATTAATGCAAAGGGATAGCAGATTGCTGCTTGTCACCTTCCTGAGGGCTTGTTTGCCTTTCCCAAAACCAATTGAGGTTAATGTATTAAAACATGTTTTTACTCTGCTGCTGCTCATGCACAGGGACAGTGGTACTAGCAAGATGGGCAGCTGTGGCAGAGGCTTTGTGTTTCTAATTTTTTAAGAAGCTTCACAATTGAGATTCTGAAACGCTTTGGGGCATTCATAATGTGGATTTAAACTGGCTGTTCAACTTGGACTGTGAGTTCAGAACTGGAGGTACAGGTTCAATATTAACAAGCATCAAATAAGATTAAAATGGAATCGTAAGAATTTCCCTGCTCCCAACTACACACACACACAAACACACGGGCATAGACAAAAAAAATTGTCTCACATGTACCCTCATGCACAACCATACATACACACACATTAAGACATAGCAGATACACACATAGCAGCACACGGGAAATGAGGATGTGGACTCCCATTGATGAAGGTTATAAACTGAGAGGATCAAATACTCCCAGCAAGGCTTTCTATGCTACTCGGAGGAGGGGGAATGTTGGCAGGGGGTTGGCAGCAGAGCAGGCTTCAATAGAGAGGCTGGATGAATCTTTAGAATGGTTGATTGGAAATTGGAATATCTATGCAGAGCTTTCATCAGGAGATTGTGCCGTGTGTGGATGAAATTTGTCTCATTGAAGTTGTTGTTATAATAATAGTAATCCTTGCACTTGATATAACGCCTTATCACATCTTCTAGACGTCTCAAAGCGCTTACCACAATATACTGTAAAATGAATTGACTATATTTTGTGGGTGAAGCGCAGCAGCCAATTGCTCACAGAAGTGTCCCACAAATAGTCATGGATTGAGTGACCAAATTATTATTAATTTTTTTGAAGGGGTTATTACCCCTGGAAAAGAGATCCGCCAATCGGCTAACAAACAGGTTCCTATTTACTGCTAGGTCAACAGAGGCATGTGGAGTAAGGAAACTTGCCTAATATTTCCCCCACCCAGGAATCAAACCTAGGTCCTTTCACTTGCGAGGCAAGCAACAACAACAATAAAATTTATAGAGCGCCTTTCACGTCGGGAGGACGTCCCAAAGCGCTGAACAATCAGGTGTTGGGGTCCGAGCATGGGGAAGGGGTGGTGTAGGGGTGAGGGAAGACAAAGAGGTGGGAGGGCGACTAAAGGCATGATCGAAAAAAAGGGTTTTGAGACCGGCCTTGAAGGAGGCAAGGGAGGAAGTGAGGCGAAGGGACCATGGGATGGAGTTTCAGCAGCCTGAGGGGTGAGGCAGTGGCGGAGTATGGCAATGTTGCGGAGTTGGTGATAGGCAGTGCTGGTCATGGCACGGATGTGGGGGAGAAATGACGGTTCAGGGTCAAACAAGACACCCAGGTTCCTGACTGGCTTAGTGAGGTTGAGTCTGCAGCCGTGGAGGCTGATGCTGCCAGCGCCTAAGATGTGGAGGCGCTGGCGTGAGCCAATCAGGAGGACCTTGGTCTTGCTGACGTTGAGTTGGAGAAAGTTGCCTCATCCAGGACTTGATGTCAAATTTTGCACTCTTCATTGCCAAAAATAACTAACACCAGGAGATACATCTGAATAGCAGGTTACTTTGCTTTGCTGGTTACAAAGGGACATAAGAAATTCTAGTCAAAAAAAGACTACGGTCCATTCCATTCCACCGTCTTGGCAGTCACATGCACATGTCATATCCTGAACTACTCATATACTGTATCCCAAAATATTATTTCCTAAAAGAAATCTATCTAATTTGCATTTGAAAGAATCAACACTTTCTGCTTCCACCATCTCACTAGAGAGCCTGTTCCATAGATTTATCAGTCCCTCACTGAAATAGTGTTTCAGCAGATTTGTTTTGAATTTAGCCCATTTCAATCGCAGGCCATGTACTCTTGTTCTACTGTTCTTGACAAGATG